TCCTTATGTGGTATTGAACCCGGTTTTGTCTGACGTGGCAGCTGAGTCAGCTTGGGACCGACGTGTGTCCCACATGCCAGTATGACACGTCATCATCCTCTCCTTTCTTCTGTCTCTCTCTTGCTCCTCTTCTCAGTGGTCGCGACTCCGGCGATGAAGGGTAGTGGCTGGGTAGGGCTTGAAGAAGTGGCCCCTAGGTGCAAGCGAGCGGTGGCCCAAAGAGCAGCTTGGGCGCTCAGCGTGGAGGCGATGAGACTCCAGATTTGGGGATTTGGAGTGGCGGTGGTGGCCGGATTTAGAGAAAATGGCGGCGGTGGTCGTTGGGCACTGGTGAGGAGTGAAATAGGGTCACAGAGGGACAAGGAGCTTGGGGGTAGTGGCGGCTTGGTCGATTGAGCACTGAAGGTGGTGGATTGGAAGCGGACAGTGTAGCGGCGGTTAATGCATAGCGTGGTGGTGGCGACATGGAGTGCGCATGCGTGCTAGCTTTATAGCCGTGGTGGTAGGGAGGACGAGCATACACTCGGACCACGGGGCTATCGGGGGCGCCATGGCTGCACGTCGATGAGGGCGACGAACGGCGGGGGAGTTCAGCCCTCATAGGCATAGAGAAACTTCTCGCGACTACGCAATGGAGAGATAGGTCCGCACAGTGGTGGAGGCCATCCACTCATCTCGCACTAGGTCGTCATCTACCTCGCCGACAGCGCCTCCCAGGTAACCCCCTTCATAGCTGCCCGCACTTCCGTGCCACCGCGCGGTGATTCGCCAGCAGATTCGATGACGGCGCACGGGGAGAAGGACCAGCAAGTTAGCACACGCGGATTCCCTCTACTCCCCACCGGATTCCCCATCAACGGTCGCGCCTCCTTCCTCGCGCCGGCTGCGTGTTGATGTAGTCTGGATGTCCCGACCACCCTAGCAGCGGCGCCCACCACTTCCCGCCTCCGCCACAACTCCCATTGGTGTGAAACCTTGCCGCGCAGCAGCCAACACGGACGCCTTGGTGCACAGCCAAGCCGTCGGCACCGGCCTCACAGATAAAGCCATCCCCGATGCTGGAGGAGGTGGGATTGGTGGGGGCGCTCTGCCGGCCTACTCCGGGCGCCGCCGCTCCGTCCTATCGCCTGTTGCAGGGAGAGAGAGGATAGAGAGAGGAGAGGAAGAAGAGGATGAGGGTTCACCGACATGTGGGGCCCACGTGAGCCCACTGTGACTCGGCTGCTATGTTAGAAACAACCGGGGTCAAAATCCTCTATGAAGTTAAGGGATAGTATATATATATATATAGTTTTATGATTGGGGGATGATTTTATAATCCGATGACAAGATGAGGGACTTTCCATGTACTTTTTCCTTTATTTTCTGACCGGCTCAGTTGAGATGGGCCAAGTTTGGCTCATATTTATGCATTAACCTTTTCGACCACTGTGATTTTTTTTTTGTTTTTTGTTATTTCTTTTCCTTTTCGTTTTCTAATTTCAGGCTCGGGAAATGACTTTACAAGATTTCACCGACCACGCGGATGACGAGTACCTCTACGTTCCAAAATAAACAAACTAGTATTGTGTTTGGATATATTATATCCCTTACTAAGTTTATTTATTTTGGGATGTAATAATACGTACCGTGGAGACGCACAAACAGCTTGGGTTCTGGGAGCATGAGCAGTGGTTGCCGGAGAAATGCGGTCAGGAGAACAAACGCTAGCAGCAACTTGGAAAATTGATTGCTGACCGAAGAGCATTCGAGTCATTTTCCATGCCTGAATTAGAAAAGAGAAAAGCCATGTACAGTAAAAAAAAAAGAAGGTCAAAGTGGTCGTGTAGTGGGGATTATTTTAGCAAAGCCCACAATAAGTTGAATTGATGAAACCCATCGAAAAGAGTATAAGGCAGAAAGAAAAAAACTCTACATCCTACCCTTAGAAGTACTCCCTTGTCTAAAAAACTCAAACCTTAGCATCTTAAGAAGAATTCAAGGGAAAAAACAAATGACTGCAGTGCTCTCAGTTAATGAGAAAAATGTATTGGTTAATAGGTAGGTGTGGTGTATTAAAGAAATAACTTTTTTATTTACAGACTGATGGTAGGCAAGAATGTAAGAATCAGTTTATTTAAGGATATATTTTCAACTACTACTCATCTCCTCGCTCCAGACCGTCCCTGCTGCCTTGCCGCTGCCTAAGCAGGACGCTGGGTGCCGAGCAGCTGCGTGGAAGGTGTGCAGCGGTGGGGTTGTTCCACGTCTCCTCGTCTCCTTGGCGGGGACCTCAGTCCCCAGATCTGGCGACGCAGGAGTTCGCAGGGAGGTGGACAGCGAAGGTGTCGCGGTGGCGGGCGATCGTGCCTGGCCGAGCGGGTTGAGGTGGTTGGGAGGGTGATGGGTAGCGGCGAGGTGTCAGCGACGGCAGCGACGGCAGCAACGGCGGAGGACAGCGGCGGCCTAAGCATCGATGGCCAATCCTTGGCAGGGAGAAGGCGGATTTGGTGGAGGTGGTCCCGTAGGCAGCGACGACCTAGCCTGGGAGTCTGGGCGGAAGACATCCTAAGTGGTGGCGGCGGTTGTGGCCCTTAGGGCAGTGGTGATCCGAGACGGCGGTGGCCTGAGCGCAGTGCAAGATCCTCGGCGAGGAGGAGACATATCTCGTTGGCAGCGGCAGCCCTAGGGGCAGCGGAGCCCTGGGAGTCTAGACGGAAGAGGTTATCCTCGTCGGCGGCGACATTGGACTCCAGCTAAGGTGGCGGCCTAGGAGTCCAGGAGGCAAAGGAGGATTCTGACGACGATGGCGGCCCTATGGACGGCAGAGGCATAGGAATCCGACAAAGTGGAAGTGGATCCTACCACCTCGCGTCTGGTTGGCTAGTTCTAGCTGGACGACAATGGTTGAAGGTGGGCTAAACTGATGGTGCGTGGCGTCAACTCACCTGAAGCGGATGAAGATGGCACCAGCGGAGATTTGTAGCGACGACGCACTAGGGATGGCGGCATCTAGACGACTTCCACTCGTCAAATCTGACCGTTTCAGGAGAGGATGTTGGGAAGCAAGGATATGCCTAGTTCGTAGGTTTTTCTTTTTATGGTTGTGTGTTCTCCTCTTTGTTGAGGTGTAAGTCTAAATTCTCTTTTATCATTTTCGCTGTGTATATCCTTCATGGATATAGAGGCTAGATTAATGAAAATCCATTATCTAAAAAAATATATTTTCAACTCTAAAAGTTGGTCTATCTTTAATACGAGGGATTAGTTGTAGTTGTGTATGGTGAAAAATGTAAATTGTCAGTATTTACTCCCACCATTAGCTGATGGAGTATATATGGGCACAGAACAGAGAACACTGACACAAATTTGGCCCTGTTTGGGGGAGCTTGTCCTAGCTGCAGCTTTTCCCAAAAGCTGCTTCTACTAGAAGCTGCCCCCAAACAGTCCACAGCTTTTGAGAATCTGTAGTTATAGATTCTAAAAAATGAACTAAGAAGCCAGAAGCTGTACAAGCTGGGTTTCAGAGCTTTTTCAGATTCTTAAAAGCTGGCTACCAAACAGCTGCTTCTCAGAATCTAAAACTCCCCTAAACACCCAAATAAACCATAGCTATTGAGCAGAGGTTAAAAGCATAAAGCTCAGTTGGCGAGCATTAAAAAGACAATCCTACATTTTAATGCCTTGCTGATTAAAATGTCTTGCTGATTCATGCTAGTTTCTCCCCCTAGAGCAAGTTTAATATTATAGCCCACTACTAGCTCCAATTCATTTATAACCAATCTAATAACTAATTCGTACAATATTTACTTAATATACTATTATTATATGGTCCCACCTGTCATATACGCATTGTGTCTTGGAGTTCGTGCTACAGCTGGCTAATACTCCCTCCATCTATTTTTGATAGTCATATTTCCAAATCTGAAAAATCTATTTTTAAAGGCATATTTCAATCCAACAATCTATCATCTTAATGTCTTTCTCGAATTTAATGCGTGATTCTCTATTCCTCCACACAAGATTGGCTACATGGGCATCGAGAAATATAAATATTAATGAATCGCTTGTTCACGATGATGACTAGTAGCATGTTTAAATAGATGATAAGTAGAATCACTTATCGTTGGTCTATGTGCCAAGATGAAATATGACTATCAAAAATAGATGGAGGGAGTAACATGCTATTGTACCTGCTCTTAAAAGTAGTATGGCGACAAGATCGATAGAGTGAATGATGACATTTAATAGGGTTTTAATTTGTAAATTAAAGTCACTAACTAATGTCCTTGTCTTCCTTATTAAGTTACCAATTCAGTTGGGAAATCGTTTCCTTAGGATGGTACAACTAACAAGCCGGTTCAGGTTCAACCTACGAAATAGTATTATTCTTTACATGTGTACCAGATATTAGTTTCATGACAAAACAATTTGGAATACACGAATAAAATAAGCTCGAAATCATTTGGATGTGACTACATCTCAATGTCGGATGGCCAGACATGATGAGAGAGATCCAACGTCTTCTTTGGCGGCCGGATGCAACGCCATCAGTGCTCAACAAGACAATTACCTTAACACAAAAAGAACGTCCTTTTTTTTCTTGTGTGTTGCTAATTAGTGGATTAGTGGTCACTTGCTCAAACAGTTTAATCCTCCTGTTCCTTTCTGATGATACCTTGCCGGCAACATCAATCGGGGTGTGTTCATGCTCAAAATCTATGTCCGAGTGAGATGATGCCTGAAATGATTTTCAGAACACAAACATTCTTCTTATGGTTTACACACTACTCCCCTTTGAATTTTGATTATGCTAAACACATTCTGTTCTTGGATTTTATTTTATTTTATTTTTTTTGTGATGACTCTTCGTGGATTATAATTGGTTTCTTCTTGTTATGATTTCGCAATATAAGGCATGCATGACAAATTATCTATAATTTCCTTTTTGCAATTCATTATAGTCACTATCAGTCACCATCCAAGAGAATCCCCTCTTTTCTGAACCGAATGCACAATGATTGTGCCTTTCACGGAACAAGCAAGGCAACTCTTATCACAATCTTGAATCTTCATAGAGCAATGTTACAAAAGAATTTACAGATTACTACTACTTACCATTCTTTCCAATTGATGCATGAAAAATTGGAGGCAATTCATTCATACAGCTATATATCTATATACAACATCTTCAAGAAAAAAATTTCCCAACAATTTTACAGATTAATAGCACAAGAAATTAATTTACCTGAGTTTGTCTGTCAGACTATGTGCAGAGCTAGACAGGGGTGATGGCGTCGTCGGCATGGTCGCCGCTGGCGGGCAGCGGCGCCGGCGGCGGCACGGCCGTGGTGCGGCAGACGGGGCACGTCGGGTGCGCCGTGAGCCACTTGCCGATGCACTTGGCGTGGAAGCGGTGACCGCACCGGGGGAGGTCGCGGAGCGCCTGCGCCTCCCGCATCCCGGCGAGGCAGACGCAGCACTTGTCCTCGGCGGCGCCGTGGCCGCTGCCGCTGCAGCTGCCTTCGTCCTCGTCGTCGCTGAGGCGGAGGAACGACTTGGCCGCCGACGCGGGGTCCGCGGCGGCGTCGGGCGAGAGCCAGACGACCATGACGAGGATGTTGGCGAGGCAGAGCGCGTACGCCACGACGTCGGCCTGGCTCCGCTCGAACACCACGATGACCAGCGGCACGAACACCATGAACACCACGGCGAAGCACCGGTTCGCCAGCGACGACGCCGCGCCCGCGCCCCCGCCTCCACCGCCCCGGCCCTCCAGCAGCGGGATCAGCACGGGCGGCGCCGCCTCCTCATCCGCCACCGCGCCGCCGCCGCCATCCCCGTCGGCGTCTGCGGCGGCGCGGGCGGCGATGGTGTGGCGGTACCAGCGCGCGAAGCAGTAGAAGAGGAAGATCTGGAGCGAGAAGCTCCCCGTGAAGGTGGCCGCGACGACGCCGTAGTAGTCGTAGGCGAGCCGCGTCGCCAGCAGCAGCGTCAGCAGCGTGAAGGGCAGATCCAGCCACGGGAGTTCCATCGCCGCCGCGCCGCCGCCGCCGTCGCCGCCGAGCACATCACCTCCTCCTCACCTCGAGGAATCCACCGCGCCCATCGCCTTCTAGCCTTCCACCCACTACACCAACAGCTAAATCCCCTTTTCCTAATCGCGCAAAGAACAAGTCAACGAATCAACTTAAATTTGAATTGAAATGCAAGCTAAATTAATTAAATGCGGTGAAAAAAAAACAAATTCGAGGGATTAAGATTAAGTGAGGAATCGGCAAGTGCCACGTAAGCAAGGTGATTAGGACACGCTAATACTAAGCATCAACAAGGAGATGCACGAGGTCGCATCGGCGTTGTGAGCTGTCGGCGATAATGAGGTTTCGCCGAGAGGATAATGACGATTTGGGGTGTCATTGTCAGAGGTAACCTGTCAAAGATAGCGGCCAAGTGGGGTATACAATTAACAGCAAGTGCTGAGACGACAAAGGGGCGATGAACGGCTGAGGGAAGCCCCCGTTTCAATTTTTACTTTTTGGCTGTTGTACGAAACGAGTGAGATAGCTGCGATGGATAAATATAAAGCTTGAGGTGCTGAGGAGGAAATGGAGGAAACAATTTCTTTTGACCAAATCACCAGGGGAGAGCTTCCCCACCTGTATATCATTCCAAAACACAAACCTAGGGGTTAGAGTATCACCAACAATACTCCAATATTATCCTCAAAACTGATTTTGAGGGCCATAAGGACCGCATGATCTATTTCACACGGATGGAGGAAAACTGAGAATTTTGTTGGTAGTTTGATAGAAATGCTCACTTTTATTTTTTTAAGATAAAATTTAGTGTTTCTCTTGGAGAGTTAAGCTTTTTTGTACTTTCTATTTTTAGTTTAGAAAGCATAAAACAAATTTTTAGAGAGATTATATATAATCTCTTGGTGATGCTCTTAAAAAAAATTTCATCGTGATAAGGAGCGGAGGGAGGGGGGAAGAAAATATTTTTCCAAACATCTAGTATTACATCTAGTATTACAATTGACACTTGCTTAGGGTATAATCCATAAATTCTGGTTTATTTTAATTTTTTTTCTTTCTTTCTCACTTAAATCCCAGGATGGTATCTCTTTCCTGGATGTTGGATGGGCCAAGAATTCAGTCTTCTTAAATAGGAGTTTCAATATACTCCCTCCGTTTCAAAATGTTTGACACCGTTGATTTTTTAGCACATGTTTGACCGTTCGTCTTATTCAAAATAATTTGTGAAATATGTAAAACTATATGTGTACGTGAAAGTATATGTAACAATGAATCAAATGATATGAAAAGAATAAATAATTATTTAAATTTTTTGAATAAGACGAATGGTCAAACACGTACTAGAAAGTCAACGGTGTCAAATATTTTGAAACGGAGGGAGTATTTGAGAAAAAAGGTCGGTCTATCATACTATCTTTACTGGTTCTTTATATGGTGCCGGGATGAACTGAACGTTTCACTTAATCCAGCTCTGGCCATTAACTGACTTTGTGATTGTAGCGATTTGGTATTTTTATATAGTCGGGTCTGAATAGCCATCTTTTTTCACCTAAAGCAGCAATTGTTTATGAATTTTGCGATTTCCCGTAACTATTTGTGCGAGATGTTCCCTCTAGTATGAACTAGTCTTCACTTATCTGGCCTTCAACTTTGTTTAGGAACAATGGTTTTGTTATAAAACCAGCTCCGAAAACGACATCGGAAACCAAACGCGGAAGAAAACGTCATAGGAGATCCAAAACGATGACGACACCGAGGCACGATATTTGATAACGGAGTTCAGCTGAAGCCTACATCTCCGAGGCACTGATTACTGACGCTCCTCCCCAATCCAGCATATACAGCATATCAGAGTTACAACGACTCACGATCGGTCGCCGCCGGCAGCCGCTCCCTCTCGCTATGCTAAGTCGTCATACGGTTATAACAGGCACGCCCCTCTATTTATGAGAGATCCTAGGATAGAGTCCGACTCATACTCTAATCCTGGTGACCTGGTGACCTGGTGACTGGAGTCTGGAGCAGGCAAAAAAATCATGCTTGGAGTTGGATCCCATGCTTGGGTTTACCTGTAAGGCTGACGAGGGATTTCACGATGCCGAGGGCGCCTTTCTCGGAGATCACAAATGATTTCTCCTTCACAAAGCTCTGTATAGCTTCTTGGTGTCGTAGTCTAGACGCTCTTGATGATCTGCGACATTAGGGAATGGAAGTCATCAGTGTTGTCTCGAGGAACTAAATGAACACAAACTGTTCTCAACAGTGAAGGGAAAACATTTCAAGCGCCTACATAATCATAGTATGCAAGAACGTGCTGAAGTTGAGGCAAGACCTGAACTTGTTTAACCCCTTTTGTGATCATGCGAGGCGAGGCTGCATAGAGAATATGTGGCATACATGCAGGGATTCAGCTACTAACTTTAGAGCAAGGATAATGGTGAGCTATAAGCAAGCTATATGCTTATGTGGAAGAGAGAGATAAAGAAAAGTGGGGAGTGTTGGCTCTCATGCAAGAGCTAGCTCCACACAAGCTCCAAGAAATATACATTAAATTCATAGTGAGATAAAGAGAAGATGCAAAAATAAAGCCAACCTTACAGCTAACCTATTATACATGTTAGTTTTAACATTGACTTATAGTAAGTAGTGGGATGTACTACTAAACTTGCTCTTAAATGCTATAGTTACGAGATCTCGTAATATACACGTCGTTCCGCTGGAGATGTATTTTTGGGCTATTGGCAAATGTGAGTAATTTGAGAAGCACGACAACCAATAATCCTCCTGGTTGATAAACAACGGCACGTGAATAAATATGAAAACATGATCCTCAATAGACTTAATGGTAGAGGCCTAACTCCAAAATAGTAAATTGAATTGTACCTATTTGTTTAGTTCAGGGAGGTACCTTTATCAAAAACAATGTGTGCTACATGAAATGGAACACGAGCAAAGATATCTGATCATGGAAACATTAGCCAGGTATCCTCTTTGGGATTGTGATTTCCGCGAGTCGAGCATATCTCCGTAACCAGCAGCTTGCCAGAAGTTCCTTCCATCTCCTTCATTATAACCTCGAAGGGAGATGGCACACTAGTTTTGGTTGTCCTAGCTCTTTTCCGGAGCGTTGTTAGCGCTTCCTGTTAGGCCATTCACAGTGCTATGCGCTGCCATTCGGCCTGAACGTTCCATGTACGTAAACAGTGAAAATTTGCTGCCACGTTATTGGTTGGGCCCAGAAATCTGAAGCGTGCGTGACCAAAGTTTGCTGCCTGTGCTTCGCTTGAATCGAGATTGGGGAATGCGTCGCGGGCGTCTTTTGGAGGCTAAAACGCACTTCTGACCTTGTGTCTTTTAGAGTTCTTAAGTCCTGTTTGGCAGCCGAGGCCGAACAAAATTTACGGCGCACTGTGAGTGCCCTTAGAATTCCTTATCTTGTCATTTTCCACTAACTGATCGTCGCAGAATAAACAAAAATCAGAAGTGATCAGTATCAAGACTCATGTAATATTTTTACAAGAATTAGGTCAGTCAGTAGCACATATAAACCTGATGTCTTGCCAGAAGAAGTTGCTCTGCATCAGTTTCGATGTCAACTAGAGCTTTTTGAAGTTGCTTCATTTTGGGGTCCATTATAAACTACAAGATAATACCACTTATTTCAACTACAAAATAAGAACTACAGAAATCAGCATAGCATAAAAAATGCATAAAAGGCTTCAAAATCTTTATAGTTCCATTTTATATAAATCCCCTTTGAGATAGAGCCAAGAAAAGAATGCAAATAAGCGCAACGGAAATAATTTGAAAAAAAATTATTGAGTTATGACTTATGAGCCATAAAAAAGTACTTTTGGGTTTATGCCACCCCAAAGTATGACAGTTTGAAAACGACACCCCATAGAATGTAATGGCATTGATGCCACTCCAAAGATGTGTCACTAAAGTTTTGGCCCAAGTGTGGTATTAGATAGTACCCCAGAATTTTTTTGTTATTTTTTGAATTTGGCCAAATCCTTGCACTATCGATGGAATTCTCGTCCTTAAAACATCCCAGCAAATGTCCTTAATGCAAACCATGATCATGACCATAGTATTATAAGAATTTCAGTCAATTTCAATAATTGACTGAAATGATATTGTTCCGTTTCTACATATATTCTTGACTTTGGCTAGATGAATAAAATGATATGGTTCAGGATGACGGGATACAAATTTTAAGAATATTCCTAAAATAGTTATACAATCCTGTTCAAGGAAAAAAAATGAATGACACAGCTCACGGAAGTGACGAATGGACACAGTTCCGAAATGCACAAGATAAAATGAAAAAATGGACAAGGAAACTGAAAACACAAGCCTCCTTTTTTGCCACTAAAAAAAATCTCATTTAAGACTTTTTTTTGTTTCTTGAATATATTGAAGTACTGCATGCAAAATTTCTAAATTTACAATGAAATCCCAACAACATTCCTAACCAGGTCATAACAGGTGTAGGTCACAATGGTTGCCAGATCGTGCTAGGCTTAAAAGGCAAGTCAAGCCCTCACCAAAGTCCCAAAAGGTTGTTTTTTCCGTTTCATCTATCATTAGGGCCTTCACAGTGCAGGTCACGTATTTGCTGGATCTGAGATACCACCTAGGTTCAAGCCTTTTGAAAGATAAAGCTTTGTGTGACTCAAATAGATCCAAAGCCACGCATGACATACGAGGAGGAGGGTGCGCAGAGACGTACGAGGCCGAAGCTACTCACTCCACAACGCGACCACCTCGTGTGTTCCTTCCCCCATGCTCGAAGAACCGGTAGCCTTCTTTGGACGCGCACGCTTCGTTTTGGTGGGCCCGGTCAAAAGACGTGGTGTGATTTTCCCCTCCGCGTCGACGTGGGACATGGAGGCTGAATGCCACGACACCGCATTGTGAACACCCTTAGTGCCAGACATATTTTATGTTTTCTAAATCGTTATTCATAATGAAATTAATTTTTAATATAAGATTAGCTTGTAGATTTTATAAGACTTTGAGCCAGACTTATGAACCTAGTCTCACCCATATCTCACCCATTTAATCAACCTAATCCTACCAACTAAACAACTCCATAGTCCATACATACCTCGCAACCAAACAAGTAAATGAATGATTTGGTTCATAAAACCAACCAAGCATGGACTTTGTAAATCACATCCCGAACTATTCATCCTTGTTCCCCAACCAAAACAAGCCCAAAAATATACACCGGAAGGAAAATATATAGAGCATTTCACATTTGCAGTTCAAAATATATTACCTACCTATATTACTAGCAATCAAAGTTTCAGCCTTTTGGGTATTATGACCTTCATCTAGTGTAATAGAGTAGTAATAATAAGCTAGTAATCCAGCTCTTCCTTCCACAAACAAGGGCATTGCAACCAAGCAATTCTAAGATATGTTTTGAACAAGTGTCCCACACTGCAAAAGAGAGGAGGAATCGAGAAGGCAAACCTAACAAAGGGGAACTAGAGAAGCGCCGATACTGTACGCCGCCGACAAGAGGAGGGTTTCCTGGACGGGAGAAATGCCGGGGCCAGCAGATGCAGCCAAGAAGCCGCCCACGGCGCACGCGTGATTTTCTCGCCTTTGACCATAATCCGAGCAACCCCTCTGACATCAGAGGGGAGGACAGCTCTAGGGAGAACAAGTAGTAGCGCGGTGGTCGGCGGCGGCGGCGGCAAACGGGATGTGAGTGGACACCTCCCGTCGTCGTGGCGACGGGTGAAATTTCATGAGACTCCCTATGTTCTAAAACAATCACGTATTTAAAATGTATACCAAAATATTCTATTAACCATATAAGCACTTCAAACAATATTTTTGAGACTACCAAAGTCTTTTCTCCTCGACCATCATCACTTATTTTGAATTTCTTGATCAAATTTCTTTGTAGAGTAAATTGCATCTCTGGTACACGAACTTGTTAGGTGGGTGCAATCTAGTGTACGAACTTGTAAAATGCTTGTTTTGGTGCATGAATTTATCTGGAGCGTGCAGAGGAAGGCGAAAAGGACACTACACGGCTAATTTTATTGATTTAGGGGCTCATTAGGATACTATGTAAACATGTATCTGAGAAGGTTGCTATTAGATAAATACCTCTTCAATAAAAATAGGATATAGGGATCATAGAAAAAGATAAAAAAAACCGAGTAATGATATAAGGGTTAGAAATATATGAAATTCATTAATTCCATGATGAAGGATAAAGTATAGATCAAATTTATAAATATTACATGTCTTATATATACTCACTATACGTATGCACGTCACATCCTAATCAACATCCGCTTCGTAAAATTAACATTTCGAAGCTATTTTGGTCCTCGTTCGCATGAACTAAACAAGTTCGTGTACCTAAACAAGCATGTTACAAGTTTATATATTAAATTACACCTACCTAAAAAGTTTGTGTACTACCAATGCAATTTAATGAGTACCATTTCTCCATAATATTAATCATTGGTAAATAACCAGAACACTTATTTTAAAACACAGTGTACATATCTAAAACCCCATTTGAATGTAACAAAAACACTGAGCATATTAGCGGCACACGAAACAAGACTAGTCATTACCTCATGATTAGTTAAGTATTAAAAGTAGATTTCTTTGATTTTTTTAAAAGCAATTTCTATATAAAAAAATAGAGTAGCTAAGACAACTAGTTGAGTCAAACAGTGAGAGATAAGGTAAAATTTGTATTTTTTTTATAAATTTAATTCTACATATGTAGTTTTGTGAAATAATATGTAAAAAAATATAGTTTTGTGATATTTTTTTTAAGTATATGCAGTTTAAAAATTACTTTTACCCAAAAAATCAATTATTCCCATCAAGCAGCTGATGCCTGTTTAGGAATTGACCCTTTGAACTATAATATATAATTACTTTATAGTCTATTCTAGTATAGTTTATTTTGGATCAAAGATTCAATTGTCATTTTTCTCATTTCCTTTCCCTCTGTAGTTGTATCTCCTCTCGTTAATTTCTTATTAAGTCAATATCACTAAGGCTCTGTTTGCAAAGAACAGGTTCCCAACCCAACGGAAGGCACGAAAAACGGAGTGGTCCATTAGCACGTGATTAATTAAGTATTTACTATTTTTTTCAAAAATAGATCAATATGATTTCTTTAAGAAACTTTTATATAGAAATTTTTTACCAAAAGTGCACCGTTTAACAGTTTAAAAAACGTACGCGCGAAAAATGAGAATAGGGACTTAGGAACCAACTCTTGCAAACAGAGCCTAAGACAATAAGTGGTTAAGTTGGCAATGGGCTTATGGGCCTATTTAGCACAGCTCCAGCTCCAACTAAACAGTTTCAGCTTTGGAAAAGAGCTGGGTGGAGCGCTCCCACAAAATGAACTAGAGAGGTGAAGTTGTGTTTAGGCTACTCCACAACTTTACTCCAGACACAACTCCTGAAGCTAAATTTAGGAGTTGAAAATCTACCAAACAGACCCTATGTCTATCATTTTGGCTATACTCGCTCTCTAAAATTGATTTGTCCTGGAGTCGTGGTCGGTATTTTCCCTCTCAAGATTGCTCATCCGTTGCTATCACTTTTCACGAAAACTTTTATAGCTTTGACCTCATTTTTCTTTTGCTTTGATTTATATTGCAACAGGAAAACTTGGCAAGATTTTCAATTCTTCCAATCTATACCTTCATTCCAAAATCCTCTTAGAGGAAAGAAAAACCAAGGTTTTTAATCCTTCTTTTAAAAAATCCTCTCCATCCCAAACAACTTGCCAGCTTGGAGCCTTGGTCTAGGATATTCGGTATGTACTGGTCCTGTAGCGGGAGGCTGAAGGTGATTGGACTTTTCATTTTAGCCCTTTTGTAAAAATTATTTTACAAATACATCTAAAAACTTTATTGTATAAATGGATCCGAAACTCGACGCCAAAGTTGAGGTTAAATATCTCGACATCCGTACCAATGATCTTATACCATAGTACTCAATCCGTTTCACAATGTAAGTCATTCTAGCATTTCCCACATTCATATTGATGTTAATGAATATCTATCTATTAGATATATATCTATCTAGATCCATTAACATCAATATGAATGTGGGAAATGCTAAAATGACTTACATTGTGAAACGGAGGAAGTATCAAAGTGTCCATTGTGCGTGGTTGGTGAGGTGGATGGGGACAACACTAGTCTGTCTGCTGCTGATAGTCTACACCTATGTCATTGGTGTTTGATCTCCCACACACTTATCCCAATAGTAATCCTAAAAGTAAAAGCTAAATTAGGAATGATTTAATTTCCATATGAAGTCCAGTATCAAATCGACATGATTTGGAGGGAGGAAGGAATGAGGAGGGAAGACCGTACCATTCCCCACAATAAAATATATATCACGAGAGATGAATCGACATACGTCGGTTTATCGTTTCCCCCTTCTTTTCATGCTGAGATATTAACATATCAATCTCCAGCACACGCCCTTTGTCACCGTGGGTATCCACGCCAAAACACTTCGGTTCGACTGAAACACCCAAGGTTATCGACGTGGAGCTACGAATCTATTTTTTTATCACAAATTGCTTAAAAGGGTCTATCTATAAAAACAGGTTTTCGAAGAGGATCAAACTGTAAAAAAAAGAAGTCCCCTACCCTACGGTGGTATAGTACGGTGCGACGCACACTACTCGTGTCTTCTCCTGCGCGAGAGACTCGAGGACTCCCCTCCCCCCCCTCTCCAAACCCTCGCCTCGGCTCCCCCGCAGCCGCGCACGCCACCGCCGTCGCCTCTCCTCTCCACCGCCTCCCCACCCACCCGCTAGGTTTCCGCCGCTGCCCGGGGTTCTCGCCGCCGCGCCGCCCTCCCCCACGCTCGCTCTCCGGGTGGGGGTGGTGCCGCCCCTCTCCTCCTCCGTTTCCAGGCGGGTGCCGGCCGGGGGGGTCTCTCGCCCTCGTCTCCTCTCCCCCTGGTCGTCGGCACCGGCGGCTGGGAACTCGCCGACGCGTCGTTTCCCCGCGAGGCCGCCGCCTAGATCTGGAGGAGGGGGTTTGGGGGTAAGCTCGTGGCGATTCTTCAATGCCCGTTCGTTCCGTGCTATTTTGTATTATTTTTTGGGTGGGGGGTATACGGTTTCATCTGACGATTCGTGCGGGTTTTTGAGTTTTTGTGGGGTGAGCTGCGGTGGTTCGTCTGTTGGTGGTGGCTAGTTCATGAGGTCGTTGAAATTAGGGTTCGTGCAGCCGCATTCGTCTTGTTAGTAAAGTGGGCTTTAACCGTGCGAGTGTTAAATGCTCGTATAAAAAGAAGGCTGCAACAATTGCATGCAAGCTAATAGTGCCTGCCACCTCTAATTGTAATTTCCGACCAATATACGGCATCAGAAAAGTGCTATATTAAAATTATTCATTTCGGATTCTGGGGAGGTAGATTGAGAAGGGGCAAGTTAATGACAAAACGCATGCGACGAATAAGCTGAATCCACTAGTAAATAGTTTGGTCTTTTAGTGTATGCAATGATTACTTAAGTTTACTGAATAATGTTGCAGTAGCGAATGCTAATGATTTTTTCTTCTGTAGTTATTAGCCAGTGAAATTTGTCAGTATCTTGTCTATAGCTGTTTTGAACCATGCTATTGATTTTATTTGAGATTTAATAATATCTGTTTGTCCTTAGAAGAATGATTTTATTTGTTCTGTTTCGTTTGCCATTGTACACCACCTATACATGATTAGATACTTGCCTATTCTGTTCATGTCCAGTTCTTTTAGTAATGCGAATTGCATACTCTTTTTCTGACATCTGTAGAGTTTAGAATGCGTAACCTACTCCCCCTGTTTGAGAATGTTTGCTGCTAACAAGTATGACGTGTCAATATGGAATAATCAAAAGCTTCTAAATTGTCCACGACTTTTGAACAGTTTGAGTATATGTTATTGCCCTCAGACATTTCGAGAGGAATATCCTGTGCCATCACCCTGTTGTTTTCCGGACGCCCCTCATAGCTTGTTTTCAGGACATGTATTTGGAGAACAACAGGAGATGCTTCCAGAATTTTCTTTCTAACTGTTCAAGGGCATGAAAACCAACCTGAACCGCGTATCCTCAAATTGGATTAGGTATCTTTGCCTAACTAGAAATCAGGATACTTCACCATTAGCCAATCTTTTGGAGTTAATTTACTAATGTTGAGTGATGAGTCTTCTGTGAGCGTGTAAATGGTCCTAAGTGATTTGGAACTGGTGATTCTATGAATGAGCCTTCGTTGCAAGTATCAAGTAGCAGAAGGTCAATTGTGTGGGAACACTTTGAATAGGACTTGGTAATCATTGATGGTGTCCCAAAGGCTATGTGTAAAACTAACGTGCACTCACCCTTCTGACTGGAACAGTGGTTTGTCATATAGTCTGAATATTTTGAAGTGTGAGCATGCTGATTTTACTGTATGGTGTAAGCATTGTCTAATTCGAAAATATGACAAGATATGCAAGCTATAAAGTTTTCCCACTTATTTTTTCTGATGCCTGATTGTGCTCTTGAATTTTTTTCAGGTAAAATACTGTTTGTTAGACAACAAGATTGAGATTCTCAAACCTGTTGGCTGGTGCTATATCATTTGCATTTGGTTGAACTCGAAACCAAAAGGTACTGTGAATTGCAAGAATTGCAAACACTTGTTATTCTCTTAATATGCAATGTTAGAAGAATATGGATTGGAGTTATATTACTGTTGTTTTATTTCTGCTGTTTGCCACTGTATGACCTAACACCTATGCATGATTAGTTACTTGCCTATTCTGTTAATCTACACTCTTTTTAGTAATGTCTAATTGTGTACTCTCTTTCGGACATATGGAGAGTTTAGACCTTTGTCTCCTGTTTGTGGGTACTTGTTGTTACTAAATATGACATGACATCCTGGCATATTAGCAATGATATTTGGATAGTTTAAGTATATGTGGTTTGGGTTGGTTTTTATCCTCTCGTACAGCCTCACCCTGTTGTTCTCCGGATACACAAACTCAGAGCTTGTTTTCAGGACATGTATTTGGAGAATAATAGGGTGATGCTGCCAGAATTTTCTTTTGAACTGTACAGAGGCATAAAACCAACCTGAACCACATATCCTCGAATTGGATTTGGTATGTATCTTTGATTAACTGGGATACTTTTCCATGAGCCATGTCATTTTATGGAGTTAATTTGCTAGCGTTGAGTGATGCATAAGTATGCAAGCATGTAAATTTTTCAGAATGCTTTGGAACCACTGTCCTGTGAATGAGCCTTCCTTGCAAGTATTTAGTAGCAGGAGGTCAATTGTGTGGGAACACTTTGAACATGACTTGGTATCATTGATAATGTCCCAAAGGCTGTGGCAACTACTATGCACTCAGCTTTTTTACTAGAAGAGTGATTTGTTGTATAATCTGTATATTTTGAACTGTGGTCATGCTGATTTTACTGTATTGTAACCATTGTCTAATTTGAAAATGTCACAAGATATGCAGTCTATAAAGCTTCCCCACTTATTCTTTCTGATTCTTAATTGTGCTCTTGATCTCTTTCAGGTGCAATACTGTTGGCCACATAACACTATTCAGATTCTCAAACCTTTTGGCTGATGCTGTATCATTTGCATTTAATTAAAGTTGAAACCAAAGGTAATGCAAAGTGCAACCAACTGTTAGTCTTGCTGCATATATTCCTCTTTGTCTGAAAAGAAGAAATTTATCTGTGTTATATACTAGCAAATATACAATGCTTTTATCTCCTAGATGTATTATTGATTTCGCTCTTTTTTTTTGGCCCTTGGTCAGCAATTCTCTACAGTACTGAACACTCAGGGGAAAAACACAGAAATTTTAGGGGTTTTGTCAATCCCTATTATACAAATAATAATTTTACGCTCACCAAGAAAATGCTACTCCTTTCCATAAGGGGGGCATGATGCAGGCTAAAAGATTGTTTAATCGTGTTGAAGTTTTATGTTTTGTTCTTGTAAGTAGGCCTGCTAATGGTCTTGAAACCGTTCTGAATCCAAACTACCCAACAAGGACAGCTTCTCACCCACAAATCTATTGATAGAAACCAAACCAAACCATTCCAGCCCAAGCTCCCACCCTAGCCAAACCTTCAGTAGTATGGGTAACAGCATTACACCCAATTCTCAGCCCGTTTCTAACCATGGAATACTTTTTATCAAAATGTTGAAGTAATCGAAGCATCTCCAGTCTTCCTATAAGGATATTTTTAGTAATTTGATCTATGCCACCACTTTAATTACAGTTTTGGTTTATGCTGCTACTTTTTTGGCAAATTCAGTCTGCCACACAAATGTGAAATTTGTTTGGGCCACACTGAATTTGTTTTGGCAAACAATATTGGGACGGATGGAGTATTACTAATGGTGAAGCGATATTGCTGTAGATTTAGTTTCTTGAGATAGGCAAGAAGGCCTATTTGGCCTTTGTTCTACTGTAGTCTGTTATTTATCAACAAGTGTTTTTTTGGTCCAAATGGAAATTCTTAATCAGAGTCACTTGTTCAAATTTTGTGCAGGCTGGCAACTTGTTAAAATTGGTGTACCATTTGTTATTTGAAGCCATAGCATATCTCAGCTCCTGAACAATAAGGTGCTGTATTCAGCACAGTTTAAGTGTGAAAAAGAATGGATAGAAAAATCACACTTTGTTGCCACTGGTATGCTTTTGAAAGAAATTAGGGGTTTGGATCTCTATCTATTCTAGTTACAATGGATTGCAACAAAGATGAGGCTGTTAAGGCAAAAGCTTTGGCTGAAAAAAAAATGCGGGAGAAGGATTTCGCTGGTGCAAAAAGGATGATTAACAAGGCACAAAATCTCTCCAAAGATGTTGACAGCAACATTTCACAAATGTTAACTGTTTGTGATATTCATTGTGCTTCTGCAACGAAGGTTAATGGAGAGATTGATTGGTATGGTATACTTCAAGTACCTGTCACAGCTGATGACACACTAATAAAGAAACAATATCGTAAGCTTGCTCTTTTGCTACATCCAGACAAGAACAATTTTGCAGGTGCAGAGGCAGCATTTAAATTAGTGGGAGAAGCAAACATGACGCTTACAGACCGCTCAAAACGTTCTGTCTATGACATGAAAAGAAATGCCTCAGTCAGAATTGGTTCTGCAAGAGTTCCTTATCAGCAATCAAGGAGAACTGCACCTGTTAGACCTACCACTACACCTGTGAATCTCCATAATGTGCATCAATCACAACAGCATAAGCCCTCAAATCCTTCAGACTCACAAACATTTTGGACCATATGCCCAACTTGTGGCATGCGATATCAATACTACCTTTCAATATTGAAGAAAGCTCTCCGTTGTCAGAATTGCTTGAAGCCCTTTGTTGCACTTGATTTAAACGAGCAAGCTGTTCCTTCTGGGGCAAATCAGAGGTCTGCTGGGGTGTGGAAAAGTTCAGGAGCACCACAAAACTTTCCAGGTTCACAAGCAAATGTAGGACAGCAAGCTCAGAATTCTGCCAATCCAGTCCATGCTAATTTTGGTTCTCATAATGCACATGTAGAAACAAAGAGGGGAGCTGATGGAAACGAGGCTGGTGGGCTAAAGAACAAAAGAAAATTTGCTAAGGCAACAGGGAATTCTTCAAAAGCTTCTTCAGTTGCTGGATCAAAAAAGCGCAGAAAAGCTATGTTTGAATCTAGTGAATCTAGCGCTTCAGACACCAGCACTGATAGCGAAGAAGAGATTATTGAAGATGGTCCTGCTGCAAGTAATGTAGGGCCAGATCAACATCCCCGCAGATCAAGCAGGCAGAAGCAAGAAGTTAAGTATAATGAAGATAGCGATGGTGACGACACTGACTGTCACGGCAATGGTGATGATGGTTTTGTGAGTTCTCCCAGTTTGAAAAGGTTAAGGAAAGGCGGTCTGTTTCATGGTGGTGAAAACAATGAAACTAAGTTGAATGCTGACACAACTGGGCCTGGGCATGATGGTCCAACTAATGGTGTTAATAATTACAATAATACAGAAGACATAGAGAGAGGCTCTGCTTGTGCTGAGCAAATCAAGAGGGAAACAATGTCTGGTGGAGGAAATAGTGCTGAGAAAGAAAAATTATCCCATTCTGTCAGCAACAATGGTCTAGAGTCAAACTCTGATGATGCTCCAAATGAGGTTATTTGTGCGGATTCAGAATTTTTTGACTTCAATCAACTTCGACATATAAATCAGTTTAAAGCCAACCAGATATGGGCTTGCTATGATAGTCAAAGCTGTATGCCAAGATACTATGCTCGAATTACAAAAGTAAAACATGTCCCGAAGTTTATGTTAAATTTCATTTGGCTGGAGTTTGATCCCAAAAATAAAGCAGAGGCTGCTTGGTCTTCTGGGGACCTACCAGTGTCTTGTGGACGTTTTAAGCATGGAGTGTCAGATACAGCAAAAGAGAGCAGTATGTTCTCTCATGCCATTTTCTATGAAAAAAACAAGACAAGAAACTCTTATGAAATATATCCTAGGAAAGGCGAAGTATGGGCTCTTTTCAAGGGTTGGGATATTGATTGGAGTGCAGATGCTGACAAACACAAAAACTATGAGTATGAAGTTGTTCAAGTCCTCTCTGATCTCACTAGTAGCACTAGCATCATTGTCATGCCACTTGTAAAGATAAAAGGCTTTGTTAGCTTGTTTATTCAGTCTAAAGAGGCATCCCCATATGTGATACCTCAGGATGACACACTAAGGTTTTCACATTGTGTCCCTCGTCATACGATGATTGGAACCGAAAAAGAAGGGATTCCAGAAGGGGCTATTGAACTTGATCCTGCGGCGCTTCCTCTGAACTTTGGAGTGGCTTTTGCTTCTGTTGTTCCAGAAAGCTGCTGTTCAGTGAAAGTGCAGGGTTCTGGTGCTGAACACATAGGTTCATCCAGTGGAAATAACTGTCACAAGGGATCGGTGGATGTTGGGGAGAGCCAACATGCTACATGCGCAAATACAGGGTTCGCTACAAGGACAACAAAGGCAGAGATCAATGAGCACAACGCTCGATCTGCAGTAGAAGGTACAGATGATGACGAGGAACCTGATGATTTTGCCCAAGCAGAAGTACTATATCCTGAATCAGAATTCTTTGAATTTTCAGAAATAAGATCGATCCACAAATTTCAACCTGGGCAGATCTGGGCTCTCTATAGTGATGTAGATAAGTTCCCCAATTACTATGCCTGCATAAAAACTGTTGATGTCAAGAATAATGAACTGCAAGTAAGATGGCTTGATGCTTGCCCACAGAGTGAAGAGGAGAGAAGATTGGTAAGAGAAGATCTAACAGTTGCGTGCGGAACCTTTAAGATTTCCAGTTTCCATGGTATTCAAACTTACAATGGTACAGAGTACTTGTCTCATCCTGTACAGGCCAAACCTGGTAGAAGAAATGAATATGAAATAGTTCCTTGCCAAGGTGATATTTGGGCTGTTTTCAAGAACTGGAGGACTGGATGGACCGCAAAAGATTATAAGAAATGTGACTATGAATTGGTGGAGATATTTGGCCACACTGATTCATCCATACAAGTTCAGCTTTTAAGAAAGGTGGATGGTTATAGGGCAGTATTTATGCCAGACAGAAGAGAGGGAGCTGTGAAGACAATAAGGAAAGATGAGTACCCAAAGTTCTCTCACCAGATTCCTTGCTTCCATCTGACAAATGAAAGAGGAGGCAAGCTTCGAGGTTTTTTGGAGCTCGATCCTTTGTCAGTGCCAGAGATGTTTCTTTTCACCGAATCAATCTGAGATAAGCCTTATCCCAAGTTAATCTGCTAGAGCATTTCTTGTGATGCTACCGGAACTAAAGGTTTTCCAGAAGTTGGGTAGTCCACAATTCAATATTTTGCTTAGTGACAGAAGCTGCTGGATTTTCAGAATTTGTATGTAGCAGTAATGTTATGGGCCGCAGCTTTTGCCTATTCTCCAATCCTCACTATGAAGGCGTTGTCAGGCAATCGGGACCGTTTTGCAAGATTAGCTGCAGTCTGAACTGATTAATTTTCCTGCAGCTGCTTTACCTAGTTACCGATAGTTGTATCTAGTTCTCTAGCTGGACTATCAATCGTCCTTTCTCTTGTCGTACTTTGCATTGTTGGACCATGTAAAATTGAACTGTGCGAGGCCAGTCTGATTAATTCGGAAATCTCTGTTGGCCTCCCTTTCCTGGAACTTAATGAATTGAGTCCAACTTCTGTTTAGGTTGCCAATTGATCATCATAGGGGTAACGATGAACTAGATTCTGTGCAATGCTTCTGTGATGGGAATGGACAGACACCCTGCTGCAGCTCTCCCAAGGTATCATTCGTCCATTTATTGATTTGTTTCTCTGCTGTTTTCTTTCCAGCAAGGTACAGGTTTGTTGGCATCCATTTGATTTGATCTTTTAGTTTTGGATGTTGGTATGCTGTGTAGCTGTTGCTCTATGAACAGTTTCAAATCTTTAGAATTGGGATTTGGACCTCGAGCCTGTGATTTAGGTCTTGTTTAGAACAGGTAGGAATTTGTGGGAAATTTAGTTCAGTTTTAGTTGTATGAACCATACAAAAGGTTAGACTTCATCTCTGCTTATCCGAAGTCTTTGATGTAATGGTGCATCTCTGAACACAATGGTCTCTAAGATAGATTAAGGTTTAATCTAAGATCTCTGTTGCTTGATTTCAGCTGATATACTCGGTCTTAAAAGACTAGCAAGTAGCAACTGGATTGCTTTTTCTAATGATGGTAACAGAGTAGCAATTTATGAAAAGTTTATGGACCGATGCCCCTTTTACCGGCAGTGTTCTCATCTCTATTTGACCACCATCTCTGTTATTAGTATCATCTCAGGGAGCCCTGGTTTAGAGTGTGCACAACCACAATATCAATAAAAAAATATTTGTTATCCTTCAAAGTCAACAGATAATTACTTAGTAGGACAAAACCAATATCGTAGCTAGATGCTCATCCAAACAAATCTATGATGAAATAAGCATTGAACCTAATCGCCATGGAGGCATTATCTTAATCATGAGGATTACAAAGAAAATGTATATACCATTAGCGAACCTGGCGCGTCCACGAAAGCTACCTGCATCCAACCTGCCTTAGTTGCAGCTTGCCTCTGCTCTCTGCTCTAGCTGCTATCCGTTTCTGTCTCGGACAGGACGAGCTTAAAGCTGCGTCGCCCATGTCGCCGTTGCTCAGTGACAAGTGTCGTCGCGCACGCGCAGCGATGTCGTCGTCGCCGGCGCCGGTGGAGTCCCCGTGGCTGACGATGCGCGCCATGCGGCGCGTTGGCGGCGCGGACGGCGGCGGCGGGCAGCGGAGCGCGCTGATGGTGGCGTCGTACCCGGTGCTGCTGCTGCTCGTCGTCCTCGCCGCGTTCGTCAAGTACGTGTGGATCGCGCTGGCGCTCTACAGCGCGCTCCTGCTGCTGTTCTCGTGCGCGTCGCGCCGCCTGGCGCTGGCGGAGCGGCTGCCGTCGCCGCTGGGAGGAGGCGGAGGAGGAGGAGGAGTCGCCGCGGTCACCGCGGCGGAGGAGCTCCAGGGCGCGGCGGCGCGGGGCGGGGTGTCCGGGGAGACGCTGGCGTCCATCCCGGCGTTCGCGTACGACGCGTCCGCGCACGGCGGCGGCGGCGAGGCGGCGGCGCAGTGCGCGGTGTGCCTGGAGGCGCTGCGCGGCGGCGAGACGGCGCGCCGGCTGCCGTCGTGCGCGCACACGTTCCACGTCGCGTGCATCGACATGTGGCTGGGCTCGCACGCCACCTGTCCCGTCTGCCGGCGCCGCGTCGAGCGCAAGCACAAGGGCGGCGTGCTGCCGCCGATGCCGCCGGAGCCGGAGACGGAGCCGCCGGTGTAGCTCGTCGTACTTCCTGTGTCTTCCTCCTAGTGATGCAGAAGATTGCAGAATGGCAGACAAAATTTGTCAAATTTGTACTACATGTTTAGATTAGAGGTACAATAGGCCAGTTTTTCTTGCCACTCTGCTTATTCTGCTGTTTGTAGATGCTAACGCGACTCATCTTTGTGAAATCTGAAGCCTGTCGCATACACAAATTGTCACCCTGTTAATTATGATCGGACAATTTTCTTAACTACTTTTCGTCTTTCTTCCTCTACAGAAAAACCACTCCCTCTTAAAAAAAAAACGATCCAAAAAACCCGTGAAAAAACGGCATAAACAAAACTCAGTTTACATTTTTATCTCCCAATTCGACATAAAAGAAACTGAACTACATTTTTATCTCCCGATCCAGCTGCAACGCACGGTGCGTTGCACGTAACTAGTCATGGTCTCATGGACCCATGGGGTGTTAGTAACAGGGTTCGCAATCTCTGTGAGTGAAAAAAAAAACATCTTGGGGGCGAAACTTTTGATTTTTTTTTGAAACTTAAACAAATTTCCACTGAATTTAAATATTCCTTTTACTAAATTAAAGCACATTGAAAGTTTTTGGCCAGAGGCACATCGCACCATGGTCTATCAGTAGACCCGAAATTTCTGAAATTTCATACCAAAAATGTGAACCATGTTCCGGAATTACCACAGGTAACCACTCCTAAGTCCTAACCTGTCCATGATGTGAACTGTGGAGTCTGAATTAAATTTGGGATGTCACTAACTGACATCAGGGTTAAGCTAAGAAGCACTGGAATTAAGGCATGTGAGAAGACTGAGTATTTCTATTTTTTCCCCTAGAATTTTGCAAATCTGCATTCAACAGCATCACCTGCAGCATGTTTTTGACATTGTTGGTCAGCACAAATTATTTCTTAAGAGAAGCAAATGCTCATTTGCACTACAATCACTTGAATACTTGGGCCACATTATTAACTCCAAGTGGAATAAAGGTTTGGCCGGGTATTGAAGTCCATAAAAAAATATGGTATACTTTTAACCGTCCTCTCACTGATTATTTATTTAGGGGGTGTGTTTGAATGCGTTCGTACCTTATTCTTCTCGCACGAAAAACAAGCTAACTTATTAGCGCATGATTAATTAAATACTCCCTCTGTACTAAATTATAGGTGGTCCTTTTTTTGGAAAATCAAACTAGGCACTTTTGATTAATAATTACACTAATAATACGTAGGTCAAGTATTATTATGTTATATTATTAGATTTGTATTTTAAAATATTTTCATGTGATAGTAATTTTATAGCTGTTGATGACATAATATGAAATTAATTAATGGTTAAAGTATGCTATTGAAGACCGTCTAAAAATATATTGGTCTTATAATTTGAGACGGAGAGAGTATTAGTTAAGAAAACGTGAAAAATGGATTAATGAGATTTTTAAAGCAACTTTTCTATAGATTTTTTTTTGCTAAAAACGTATCATTTAGCGTGAAAAATAAGACAAGTTTCATAAATGTTGCTTTAAACGTATCATTTAGCATGAAAAATAACAAAGTAGAAGTTGGAAAAGGGTAGTGTTGAACATAGCCTTAACAGTCTCAACATAATCAAGAATTTTGTAAGAAATTAAAGAGGCTCTAACTTTAGGGTGTATTTAACCCTACCTAACTTCTATCTCTATAATACTACCTCCGTCCCAACATATATGACGCCATTGATCTTTCGCATAACATTTGATCATTCTTTTTTATTAAAAAAGTAAGTATGAATATGTAAAAGTTGTAGTTTCTATGATGTTAAAACAAGTAAAAAAAAGATATTTATATGATTATTTTGAATAAGATAAATGGTTAATCATTATGTCAAAAGTGAATGACGTCCTTTATTTTGGAACGGAGTGATTACTTCAAAAGCTGAGCACCTGATGAAGGAATAGGTTATGTCCTTCAAGCAGGACAATCATAGCATTTTTTAGGAAAGGTTTGGGACTTCAGAACACAAGCATTATCGACCTATGAAAAAAATAATGCTAACTAATTTATTCGCCGCCGATAAGTGGATAAGTTATTTGCAACACAGACCATTTACCATACTAACTAATTACAAAAAGCCACACTCATTTGGGAGAACAAAAACTCATCACTAGTATTCAGCAAAAGCTTCTCCCAATTTGTGACATCCTCCTACCTCTACCTGTGTTAACCAGATGACAACCAGAACTAGTGAAAGTGTCAATGATCAGGAACAAAAACAGAGACTCAACCACTAGTAAAAATATTAGATGATCTATCAAATTCCAAACACAGGGTCTTCCTCTCTAGAATCTTGCAAACTGCCTACGATCATCACTGCCTTTCCTTCCGTATGGGTTTGAAGGGCCGATACCATGCCTCCTGCCAGTGTTTACATTCCTCTTCTTTCGATGTTTTGACGCACTGCTCTCCAGGTCCAGATTCACCTTTGGAGGCTCACTAAAACAGAACGAAGCCGCTACGCTCTGCAAGACAGCGAGGAATAACACACAAGCTAGTTCAATTTTCTGTGGTGTCAAACCCTCTAATTCGGTATGCGAATGAACACACGCCATTTTCATTGGCGTTGAAGAAAGAGTTTAAGAAGCATTAGCATTTATCTTACACCAACTGACAATTAGACTTTTCATCCTCAGCTAGCATGCTAATCTAACAGTAAAATTAAGAAAATAACAACTGTGCTTCTACTTGAGAACTAAGATTAGATTTCATAAGTGAAAGAATAATTTAAAAATGAACTAAAGGAAAGAGAACAGAAATATGCCCCAACAAACCTGAGTAACATTTAGTGTGAATTCTTACGTGCAATGAAAACAAAATGCAGAGGAAAAGTAATGCGAACAAACCAAAGACAACCCTGAGAAAGAACACTGTAAAATTTTACCGTCAAATCAAGTTGATGGATAGCAAAAATGTCTTTCATAGAGTGTGATTTGTATGCCAAAAGATAGGATTTGTAGGCTTCTTTCGCCGATCTGTTTAGGATGTAATTCCCACCAACAATTTTCTCCTGCTCAAAACTTGAGTCATAATGCTACATATTGAAATAATGGGATTAAGTCATTGTAGTTATGTAAAGAGACACTCACAAGGTAAGGTTGCAATTTTGGCACAAGCTCTTGTCTGAACACATATTCAGATACAGAAATATTAGCTGCCTGCAGGAAAACATGAAACATGTTGGGGCGTTTTGGTTTGATACCAAAATGTTGCCATACCAATTTTTTGGTACTTTAAATAGTAAATGTGATGATTTGGTTTGAAGCCAAATGTTTGGTAATGCCTATACTCAATGTGGCACAATTCTAGAATATTCTTCACCACAATTTAAAATTTGGCTCTCAATTGGCATAAATCCAAATACACTCATTTACAATTCTACCCTACCGAAATATTGGTAGTGCCAAAACTTGCCTAGAGTTTGACACTAACAACATATTGGTAAGGTACTAAACCAAACAAGCCCGTTATTCCCTCTGTCCAAATATATTATGGGTTGGAGAAGTCAAATCATAAAAATGTTTATGGTATGAAATTATACAACTAGATTCATATTTTAAGTATTTTGTGAGAAAACAATTGTCAGATGAATTATTTCATACTTTCAGGTGAATGAGCAACTGTAATTCTTTCGGTAGTAAGAACAGTATTGCACTTCCTTTGCCATTATCGCCACGGGCAGTACGACCAACTCTGTGAATGTAATCCTGCAAATTAAATTCCAATGTCAAGTTAGTAAAAGTGAGGAATAGAAATTTTCTTTGGCACCATTTAAAATCCCTAACCTTTGTTTCATCTGGAGGATCATATTGCACAATATAGTCCTAAACAAGGCAACAAACTCTTAGGTTAGTAAGTGGACAAAAATAGGAGTGGTTAATTAAATGGTCTAAAAACCACAAGTCAAAAACCTCACCACATCAGGAATATCAAGTCCTCGTGCTGCCACATTAGTGCATAATAAGATGCCATGTTCTGCCTTGTGAAACTTAAAAAATGTACTAGTTCGTTGATGCTGCTTTAGTTGCCCATGGATATCATAACACTCTATCTGGATGAAATTCAGAAGTTGTGCATGGAATTTGACTGAATTACATGATGAAAAGAACACCATGACCTTCGTCTTCTCAGAAAGTGCCTTTTTTAGGAAAGCATACAGAACCAGAAACCTTCTCTCACTAGGAATGACACAATAGCCCTGCTTCAATCCTTCAACAGTAGCCTGAAAGAGCATCGCAATTATTTCTCACACCAAAGAACAAAAAAAAGTTCCACTAATCTTGTGTTCATGATCATCATGTAATTCAGTCAAATTCCAACATAAAAAAAACTTAAAAGGACAGTTAAACAGTTCAAAAGTTCAATACCTTTGATTCATGATCATCAACTCCAACATAAACAAGTGTTCGCTGCCTTTCTTCTTTGCTCCCAAATGTTAACTTCGCAAAATCTTCAACCTACGGAATGCCAGCACATAAGCAAAGACACCAATGAAGGAAACAGCTTGAATGAGCTGAATAACAGATCCACTAACCTTTTCAGTCTGTGTAGCAGAAAAAAGAACAGTCTGCCTACCCTGCAAATGATGCATAATAAATTGCAGGATAAATACAGTATTATGTCAGTAAAAAGTTAAAGGCTGCATGATGCATATGAAATGAAATTGCCAGACGGGCAGATAGATGGTCATATACCTGCCGAGGAAGGAGTTTAAATATTTGTTTCATTTGTTCCTCAAAATTTTGCTCAAGTATACGATCAGCTTCATCAATTATAAGGCACTACAACATTAAGATGAGTTATGTCAAAGACAGTGAAGAGGGCGAGGGGGTCAGTCACGACATTCATTATATTGGACAGCAATTTCATGGCATTCTGTAGCTTCAGCCAAAACTACCTGTCCATATGGCAACGGCAAAAGTATCAACTAGATTTGACTCCATGTAACACCCATAAACTTGGTGCAACTAATAACAAAACAACAAGAAATCTGCAACAGAGCTAACAAGGACTTGACAGTAGAAAATTATCACCCGAAATTTTGCCAATTTGACCCTTTTGAGAACGTGCCAAAAACTTTATTGCAAAAATATACAACCACCTCAGGGCCAGACCTGATGGCTCTGAGTTATAACGCCTTAGCGCCACAAATGATGGTGTTGACCTCTTATCCGAGGTGAGTGTTTGCCAGATCAACGAAGCTCAATATATGCGCATTGGCACTGAGATCTGTACTAGCTAAAAGGGGTGAATGTCTTCTTTGACTGCAAGGTGTGCTTGGTATAGTGGTGGTGTCTTATTCTCTTATCCAAGAGGTCATGGGTTCAAGTCTCCATCCAAAAAATTAAGAGAATGAGGACTTGAACCCATGACCTCGTGGGTAAAAGCAATAAGGGTATAGTGGTGGTGTCTTATTCTCTTACCCAAGAGGTCATGGGTTCAAGTCTCCATCCAAAAAATTAAGAGAATGAGGATTTGAACCCATGACCTCTTGGGTAAAAGCAAGAGGCTCCACCACTGCATTAGCCGCACCATTATATCAAATAAGGCATGTGCTTCCTTTTAGTTAGTAGAGAGCTCAGTGCCAATGCTATTGATGTTGAGCTCCAATGACCTGGCAAACGCCATCTCCAAGGTTAACACCAATGGCGCTGAGTTAGTGATCCATTTTCGCAATAAGTTTTTCAAATGGGTAAAATTGTCAAAATGTTGGAACCTATAGAAAGTTGTTTTAGACATGCCTCTAGTCAAACATCAAAAACCTTTACCATCTGTATCTTTTTAAATATTTAACCGGGCACATGAAAATTATACGTATGGACTTGTAATGAAACAACTTCCGCAAAAGTACAATTCTATCTGTCTTTACAAACATAATACAATAGAAATTATTGTTAAAAGTTGCAATTTGGAGACAGTACGAATTAATGTTAAAAAATACAGCTTTGCATATACTCAGCAAAATCTATTTTGAAATTTGATTTATATACTCTAATTCAGTACTAACAAACACACTGGACAGAATAAAGGGTAGATGCAGGCACACAATTTATATACGAAATAATCAGGTGATTGATTATGCAAATTGCGAGAGAAACATGAAAATGCAGCTCGTACTTTTTAAGCAATAAGGAAATTTTAATCTGCAAACTATTTCAACAGACAGGTTTAGTTCCACATTGTAAAGGAAAGTGTTTCTTTACCTTTAGGCATTCATATTTGAAACTTTTGGTTTTTTGCATATGGTCCAGAAGCCTTCCTGGCGTTGCAACTAATACATTGATCCCTTTCGCGAGCTGCTCAGCCTCGCCCCTCAAGTCAATACCACCAATTACATATCCAAGAGTTTGTGAATGATACCTCATTAATTCCTTGGCAACATTGTGTGTCTAGAGCAATTGAATCAATGAGACGCATGATTAATTATACTGAAATACAAAGATGAGCCACTAACAATACATAATCTGAACCAAAATTTAGATACACTACAAAATGCTGCCTTTTAAAGTTTAAGAATTTGCTAATAATTGGCAACAGCAATGTGAAAAGCAGCTTTCTGTGCATTCTTAAAAATACCTTGACATGAACATAAATTGCCTTAACAAAGCTAGTACAATCTTATCTCATTTTACATGTACATCCAATGTTGATTTTTTATTTTCACTCACAAGTCACAACAAGTTCAATTGTTGAACAGGCATAAAACATGTAGTATAAAATGGATCCAAAAGAAATACTGCTGCATCATGCATGAAAAATTTTGTCTGTCAGGTACCAACAAACGCCAAACAAATACTAGCAATGCGTATGAAAATGCACCTGGATAGCGAGCTCCCTTGTTGGGCAAAGCACGATAACTCCGGTCCCGTTCCTCGGCGAGAAGCGCAGCCTGCAGAGCAGCTCGATCGCCGGGATGAGGAACGCAAGCGTCTTCCCTGAGCCGGTCTTGGCTGACGCCATCACATCGCTTCCCAACATCAGAGGCGGTATCGATCTAGCCTGAATCTGCAATCAATCAATCAATCATGAAAAAAAAAATGACACCTCGTTACATATCTGTCGAGCACTGAAATCCAACAATTTTTCAACAAAAAGAAGATGGATAACTGTGGAATTTTTAGACGATGGATGGTGACCTCGGTGAGGTGGGTGTAGTTCATGTCTCTGATGGCATTGGCGGTGAGGTCGGAGATGGGGAGATCCGAGAAGAGCTTGTCCGTCAGAATCCCTGATCCCTTCTTCCCCTCCCCCTGCTTCTTCTTCCTCTTGCTCTTCTCCTCCTTCATCTTCTTGTTGTTGTGCTCCCTCCTCTTCCCCGTCGCGTTGTTCTCTCCCTCCGAATTGCAGGCGGCGGTGTTGTGTACCGGCTCCGGTTCAGATTCCGGCGGAGTAGCGGCGGCGGCGGCGGGGCGCTTCCGCTTCTTGGACGACGGCCGGGGCGAGCGGGCACAGAGTTTGATCGGGTGCATTGCGTCGGGAGGAAGGGGAGGGAAGCGAAGCAAGCCGATCGGGTAGAGTTTTTGGGGCTTGGACGACGGGGTGAGGAGGCGGCGGGGCGGCCCGGCGCCGTGGAGGAGGATGCTTGCAGGCGACGGCGATGTGGCGGTGGCGGCAGTCCGGCCGTCGAGGAAGGCAGTCGGGTCGTGGGCTGGGCAGCGTCGCTTGAGCGGGCCAAGAGGATTTTCGTGAGGGATAAGTCCACTATGACTCCCTCAATTATAGGCCCAGTCTGGTTTGTACCCCTCAACCACGCTACCATATATCTTGCCCCCTTAATTATTATTATTAAAAAATCGGTGCAAAATAACTTTTCCAATGGTTCTGAAGGTGGTTTATATTGAAATGACGTGTACGTGCCACATTGACTTATTATTCATCATCTAACATGGCACTACAATAATAAAAATAATACGTGGGACCCATAGTTTTAGTGACTGTTTCCTCATTTTCTCCTCTCTTTCTCTCCACCTCTTAGCGCTCTTTCTCTCTCTATGGTCGAGACGATGGTGAGGACCGGTAGGACCAGGATGTCGCCTACCGGTCGACGTGAGAGGTGGTGGCCATGCGCGCCGAGATCAGCCAGGCGAGGAGGAGGGAGAGGAAGGCAGCGACGATGCCGAGGACAACAAGTTCAAGTGGGGGAGGGCGTTCGGCGGCTTTGGTAGGCCAGGAGTTGGGCATCGGCGTGGCTCAAAGCAGAGACGTCTCCCAACGAGAAGGTCAAGCGGCTACGATGGCTGAGGAGGCCACCGTCGCCACTTGGGTCGTGAGTGGCGTGGGCTGATGTTGTTGTGCTGCACGATAGTGTCGTCATCGGGGAAGGTATTCAGCTGAGGAGGGAGCTAACGAGGGTACAACGGTGGTGCTAGCGGTGGTCACAGGGTACTGCATCGAAGAGGAGATGGATGTTGGGTGCAACCGCACACACTCTCCTTGCTGAGCGTGGCACTGCTGCTCCCCCCCTCAATTAACACGATATGAGATAGAAACTAATATCGATGGTGGCACTGGTTGCCTAACTTCGCCACCCTCTCATCATCATCCTCGTTTCCCCCAACCACCACCGCTTGGTCCTCCCTGTTGTCGTCCTCTCCCACCAACCACTGGTTGCCTAACTTTGCCATCCTCTCATCGTCATCCTCGTTTTTTAGTCCCGCCTTGGCTAGCTAAGGTAAAGGAGACCATCCTATAAGATAAGGTGTCCGGTTGAAAAAAAATCCGGTTAATTGTTTTGCACTGAGCGAGGATGAAAGCACAAACAAATTAATTTAGGGGTGTGGTTCGACTAGATGAGTTCTGGCATCTACAGCCTCTAGAATCTCTAGCTGCAAGAAGCTCCTCAAATAGTCCAGATTTTCACTCGGATTTGAAGAAACTGTAGTTGTACAATCCAGAAAATAAACTAGAAAGAAGCTGTAGTTGTAGAATCCAGAAAATGAACTAGAAGACAGAAACTAGGTTTCCTAGCTTCTCTAGATAAGCTCCCCCAAACAGGGCCTTAAGTCCCGCCTCAACTAGCTATGCTGAGGGAGACAAAAGCGCAAACAAATAATTCAGAGGCGTGGTTCAATTTAGATGAGTTGGGCCTAAATCCGTATCACACCCCAGATGTTTCGCCGGGCGCCGGAAATAGGAAAAGAAGCTGTCACTAGGGCTGTCAATGAGCCGAGCTCGAGCGAGCTTGCCTGCCTAGGCTCGAGCTCGATACAAGCTCGAGCCGAGCCTATAAAATGTTCGAGCTTTCAAACAGGCTCGCTTTGAGCTCGATCAAGCTCGAGCTCGACTAACGAGCTCGATTTTTAATTAGAACAATGTATATTTCAAAGGATAATTTTTAAAAACTATTTAATTTATGGTTTATCATATTAGTGTAAGAGGAAAAAGAATAAAATAAACATATGATGCCAATACAAGGCATACAAATAACATATTTGATCTACCGATTTGTTAAATAGCAACATAAAATCATATATTACTAGGCTCGTTAGAAGCTCGAGCTCGGCTCGACAAAGCTCGCGAGCTTTGGGACAGGCTCGGGCTCGGCTCGTTTGGAGCTCGAACCGAGCTCGAATCGAGCTTAGGACGAGTCGAGCTCGAGCAGCTCGCGAGCCTCGAGCTTTTTTTGACAGCCCTAGCTGTCACTAACCAATGGGGTCCACATATTATTTTATTGTTTTTATTATTGTAACGCCATGTTAGATGATAAAAACTAAGTCAACGTGACAGGGAGACGCCATGCCGGTGAAAACCACCTTCAAAACCACAGAGAGTCATTTTCTATTTAACGGAGCGTGGGGCTCCTCACCGGGAGACCGCGCGGGCCCCCCTTTGCCGGTTCGGCCGGGGGCGCTAGGTGAGGTTCTAAGCACTCGATCTGTGGAATGTTTTGCGAGAGAGCAAATGCGCAAGACACGGGCGATGTAGACAGGTTCGGGCCGCTGAGAAGCGTAATACCCTACTCCTGTGTTCTGGTGGATCTGTGTACGAAGGAGTTACAAAGAGCTGGAGAGCAAGAGAGTTCAAACTCTAGAAACCCTCTTCCTCTTTCTCTCCTCTACGAGCTCAGGTCTTCTCCCCCTTCTTTCCCCAACTCCCCCCTTCTTAAGTGGGCAAGGTCCTCCTTTTATATCTCAAGGGGATCCCACATGCACCACTTCTACCTACTCTTCTTTTGGGTGGGGACTCACCCTATCTTCCCAAAAAAGAAAAAACTGGCTTGCCCCTTCGCCTGGAAGCTAAATCACAGCTTGTCTTTGAGTGAGGCCCAGCGTCATCACTCGCCTGACACCGGGGATCTCCCTGTTACTCCCTCATTAATGGGCGGAGATTTGCCATGGCTGTTGTCCGAATGACCCTCTGATGGGATGGGCCATACCTACCTCCACTCCGCCGGAAGCAGGCGCAACGTGGGAGCACGGTTGTCTGCCGATGACGTGACCGGCGTCAGACCAGTCACAAACCGGTCATTCTTGTCTACCACGCGTCAGTTTAGCATGCCACACGTCAGCCCTTCTTCATAAAATGACTTCCTTGTAATGGTTGCGATGAAGCCTGGTATGAATCTAGCCGGGACTGACGTGCTAACTCCAGGAGTCAGCACGCCGGCTCCGGCTAGGGACGAGTGCCTAGAGGCTCTCATCATTCCGACGGGACGGGGCGAGGCGTGCGAAAGGCCGCCTGTTGCCACCTAACCCGCGATCTGACCGGTCACACACTGTGACCTGTCACGGACCGAACGAGTGTGCTGCGCTGCATTAAATGCGGCGTGGGGCGCTCGTCCAACCCGCAATAAACGCGGTTAGGTGAGCGCCGCTGTGCTCACCTAACCCACACACGTGGCGCCAAACCCACAGGGGGTCGGGGCGCCCCAGCCCTCGGGGCCGAAACGGGAGCGGCCCGACCCCTCGGGGAGACAGAGGGAGGGGCGGCCACATCACCCTCGGGCCCGACCCCCCCGAGGGGGTCAGGCCACGTGGGTGACTGCAGCTGCCCCAAACCTCTAGTCAAGATACCCCCGGTCCCATGTCACCGATACTATTGGTTTTAGTAGTTGAGTGATTAAACTATCTGGTATTATGGTTAAGGGATATGAATTCGACCTATAATTGAAGGAGTCAAGATGGACTTTTTCCTTTTTCGTGTAGAGAAACCGAGAAAATCCTACCGGATTGGGCCTCCACTATTTATTAGCACTAGCCCGTTTACACATTGGAGGGACCCATATTCGTTGGACGGGGTTTAAACCAGCCCAAATCTAAAGTATTGATAGGAGTAATCTTTCTTGAAAAGTTATTATGTAAAATTATGTGAGCCATCCGATTTCCCCTCTAAACAATATGAAACCGTTAGATCCTTGAACTGGTGAAATCTTTTCATGGTACTCGAAGAAACTTCTTTTTACAAGAAAGTCCTTCCACGTCCCTAAGATAGAAAAAAATCATGATTCCCCGGTAAAAAAATCGTGATGGCGAGACAACGTGCACTTCCCGTCCTCCCCCTCTTCGCCGCGTCCCTAGTGTTGTCGGCCTCTTCTCTCACGCCGCCGCCTCCCCATCCCTCCTCCCCTCCCTTTTCTGCAGCGCCACCTCTTCCTGATCCCGTCGTCGCCGTCTCCTAGTCCCTGGCACCGGCACCGCCACCATCTACTCTCCCTCCACCCTCGTCCTATCCCTCCTAGTTTAAAGTGAAAATGCCAATATGACATCCTGTTATAAAAGAAATAGTCATTATAACATTTAAAATGTCAAACACATTAAACATATTTCAAGCCACGTCGCCAATATACTCCCTCATTCCCTAAATGTTTGATGCCTTGACTTTTTTTAAATATGTTTGACCGTTCGTCTTATTCAAATTTTTTTTGTAAAATATGTAAAACTATATGTATACATTAAAATATATTTAACAATAAATTAAATGATAGGAAAAAAAATAATAATTACTTACATTTTTCGAATAAGATGAACGGTTAAATATTTTAAAAAAAGTCAACAGCGTCAAACATTTTAGAATGGAGAGAGTATTTCAGTCTATGCATCAACTTGTCCCCATAGGTCTTACACAAAGTCACAAACAACCAACAGGGCCTAGATAGCATCTTCAAGAGGTGACTAAAATTAGAGTCCAAAAATCTTTTATTCTCTAATGATTTTACAGTTAGTATTAATTAAGTAGATATCCCACTCCACTACACGGGGTTACATTGAATACTGATAGAACCCACAAAGATCTTAGCCCAATTACAATCATTGTACCTGCAAATTAGGAGCGCAGTTTCACTTAATTTTACTGCGACGATACAACAGAAACGACTACCGAATCAGACAGGCGGCAGCACAGCGGCCGACGCCGCCGCCGCGGCCGCCACGGACTTGCGCGGCGGGAGCACGCGGCGGCAGAGCGGGCAAGTCCGGCGGACGCGCAGCCACACGTCGACGCAGTCCTCGTGGAACAGGTGCCCGCACGCCGGCAGCCGCCGCACCATCTCGCCGCCGCGCAAGTCCTCCAGGCACACCGCGCACAGCACGCCGCCGCCGCCGCCGCCGGGCTCGTACGCGAACGCCGGCAGCACGCCGATCCCCCCCGCGCCGGGCGCCATCAGCCCGCACGCGCACGGGCAGCTCAGCAGCCGCCGCCGCCGCCCCGACGCCGCCGCCGCGGCGGAGCCTCCTCCCGTCGTCTGCGCCAGCCTGCCGGCGAGCGCCAGCAGGAGGAGCGCGACCGCGACGGCGACGGCGCCCGCCACGGTGGCGCTCACGGCGTAGGCGATGGAGCAGTACAGCCCCATCAGGACGTTCACCGCCATGAAGCCGTAGCACCCTAGCCTCGTCGAGCAGCCATCACCGCCTTCCTCCTCCGCCGCCGCCGCCTCGGGCATCCCGACCAGCGATTTCTCCGATGATTTGAACTGATTTATTTCGTGCCAAATTCCTACGAAATGCTACGAAATTTTCGAAATGCAGCGACGACGCCGAATACAAGAAACACTAGGAAATGAGTAGCTAGCACACGATCTGCATGAACATAGCTGGCGGATTACACCAGCAGCGTCACGCTCTCGACGTGGGCGACGAGTTCCAGACGTGTCAAGCACGTCCGTTGCTGTTACCGTACCATTTTAAGTACGTACACCTGTCCAAATCGGTTGCGTTTGCATCAATCACAAAGTTAGTAGAGTATATTAATTTGAGAGTTTGTAGAGATTTCTGTATTGTCCTATGCCGGCTAAATTCCAAATAGCCGGTTTGGTCACAATCTTATGGAATCTTGGTTGATTATTATGTCCTGTTGATCCCGAAAATAATGGGTTACAGAACACGGTTACAGGGCACACTTTTCTGGTTTGGAAATGCTAATTAGTTAGTATACCAAGTGGTAGAACATTCGGAATTAATGTACAGTGACGCAGTAATAACAACACTAGGTGATGTTAGTAGTGAACACCAAGCAAGGTGAATTAGCGTTTCACACCGGCGGCAGCACGTCGGTGGAGGAGACCGTCGCGGCGGCGGCGGAGGATTTCGCGGTGACCTTCTCCGGCGAGAGGTCGCGGCGGCAGAGCGGGCAAGTCCGGTGCGCGTGCAGCCACATGTCGATGCAGTCCACGTGGAAGAGGTGCCCGCACGACGGCAGCCGCCGCACCGTCTCGCCGGCCACGACGTCCTCCAGGCACACCGCACACAGCGCGCCGCCGCCGCGCGGCTTGCCCTCGCCGCCGTCCTCGACGTCGGCGGCGGGGGGCTCGTACGCGAACGCGGGCAGCGCGTCGATGGCCTGGGCGGCGAGCCCGCACGACGCGCACCGGCGCACCTGCAGCCGCACCGCCGGCGCCGCGCGGGCGCTACCGCCGCCGCCGCCGGCGTTCCCCGCGTAGAGCTCGGGGGCCAGCGCGACGGCGAAGGCGTCCGTGGGCGCGAGCCAGCCGGCGAGGCCGAGCAGCAGGACGAGCACCCCGGTGGCGGCGAAGGCCCTGGCGACGCCGACGGCGGAGACGAGCGCGCACAGCAGCAGCAGCGACACGCACGCCACCACGATGCCGTAGCAGGCGCGCGCCTCGCCGTCGCCCGGCGGTGCGGCGGGCCCCGCCGCCGCCGACGGCGCAGGCCGCACCGCCCTCAGCATGGCCGCCAATCTTGCCGTCCTCCTCCTCCTCGCGATCGCTAGCACTAGCCCCACCAATCCACCATGCGCGAGCAGCAGCAAAGCGTTCCAAGAATCCGCGGGCGAGGGGTGGAATGGTGAATGGAATGGTGGATGCGGATGGTGGCGGCGGGGCGCGCGGCGTGTTTATCTCGTTGGGATTGGGAGGCGTCGCCATCGATGGGACTCGGCTGCTGGTTGGTGGACCTACTTGCCTTTCTCGCTCGCTTGTTTCAGTTGGATAGACTTGGCAGGCACGCACGCCCACACTCCTCGTACGCTCAAAATATCAGGCGATTCGCGATATTTTTGTCACCGTGGCCTTTTGTGTTGTGGGATCACGCAGCACAGGCTGTTTATTACTAGAACACAGGAATTTTATAGTGTGTTTATATAGTTTAGTTTTGTTTGTTCGTAACCTTGTAAATTGTTTCTTGGATCCGAAAAGCTTTTACATGATTTTCGTATAAATCGTAATAATTCATACATTCAATAGGTGGTTCAAAATAAAGTATTTTTTTGGGCTGTTCTGCTACAATTAACGGCACAACCACGTAGCCGGTTACTACTTATTACTTGCTACATAAGTCAAATTTGTTAGAGGCTGCGAAACAACACCGTAGGCAGCTGAACAACTCCTTCATTCGCATAGAGATAGTTTTTTTTTACTTATTATCCTCTTGGATAGCATACTCCAACAAATTAAGGGGAAAATGACTACCTGATTTTTTTTAAGTTTTATCACATTTTAACCGCCAACTCAATAAATTGAGGGGAAAATGACATTGCGGCTCCTTTCGTCTTTTTTTTCTTCCCCTTCATCTATATGTGACCATGTCTCCGTGATGTGTGGCGATAGCGGTGGCGAAAAGAATAGGCCAGCGAGCGTGGCAGAGAAGAGGGGTAGTGGGTGCTTGTGTAGTTGTATGGGCGCACAGATGGCGGTGAGGACGACAAGAGCGCAGAGGTGATCACTACTCATATGTAAGGCAAGGCAACCCTACACCACTCATATTATATATAAACCTTATAGGTTATAGTCTTATTTCTTTTACTATATTTAATGAAACTATTCATGGTCTAAATGCTGGTTTGTAAAAAAAAAGAATGGCAATAGCTACCAAGTGTCTAAATGTGTGTGTTTGTTTATAATGATCATTTCTACGCGTGACGAAATAGTTTAGACTCAGTTCGGCTCAGTATTTGGTTGTGGCTATTCACGGCTCAAAAAATGGAGCGGATTATTAGCTCATGGTTAATAAGTATTAACTATCATAAATTTGAAAAATATTTTTTTCATTTTTCTGAAAAAAACTTCTATACAGATTTATTTTTAATAAAACATGCAGTTTATTGATTTGAGAAGCATGGTAAATCCAGCCATATATTTAGAAAATTTTATTTCCCGCATTTTACTTCACTTGTAAATTAATGAACATTTAATATAATTCTAACAATAATTTATTAAATAATTTATAAATCCTGAACCAAAAATCAGGATTAAGTTGTACAAAGAGGGTATTTTTTATAAAACCACAGCTATTATAGTTTAAGTTGTACAAAACCAAAAACCACATAGATTTAGGCATATGGCACATAAGCCTAGATATTTTGGTCATAAAATTTTCACAAAACTACACTATTGATCATTTTGATATGGCAAATTTTGTTATAGGATACTCAAAATTTGTGCAATTTGCAGATAGACATCGAAAAAATGTGTTACAGCTAAAAGACACTCTAAACAACTGATAATTTGCTAGAGGATACTCTCGACTCAATTGAAGAAATAAATTCTTAAGAAATACGAGAATGACCTTAGGACCACATGCTTCAGACATGGCATTAGAGTAAAAGTTTAGAAATTATGCAACTGTAAATTTACAATCAACATAAGTAAATCACTAGCATAAATCATATTTCACCTTCACTCTATTCTCAGCTCAAAAGTTTTTGACCCTAGGGGATTCTTGTCTTTTTGAAGAATTTCTCTCTCTAATTGAACTGAAAAAAATCTTCCAGCAAATTACCAGTTTTTTAAAGTGTCTTTCAGTCATGACATATTTTAACGATGCCTACCAGCAAATTACACAAATTTTAAATTTCCTGTAGCAAATTTTATCTTTTGATTAGGAGTATGTCAAAATGGTCAATGGTAGGGTTTTGAGAAATTTTAAAACCATAATCCCTTGAGTTATGTTCCACATGCCAAAATCTCCGTGGTTTTGTGCTATTTAGATCATAATAGTAGAGTTTTATACAATTTAATAAAAGAAAATTATCCCTATAGGATGGATTAGAGAGTACTAATTGTCTTATTAATCGCATCCATTTAAATTTGTTCAAATCTTATAACAACCACCGTTACTCTTTACATTGATAAAGAAGATTATAACTTTTTTCTCTATCACTAATTTTTTCTCCTACAACATATATTATTTTTATATATGGGGATGGAGGGAGTAACCACCTTAGTCTTTATTTAATTTTCCGCACAAAACTTTTGTAGATTCCAATGTTTTATCCACAGGATTTTCTTCACACTGGTGGAGAAACCATCTTTGGTCGGTCGGCCCAATTCCACAATAGTCCCGGTTCCAATAAAAACCGGGACTAAAAAGCATCTTTAGTCCCGGTTTAAAAACTTAGGGGTATTTTTTGATCTTTAGTCTCGGTTGGTAACACCAACCGGGACTAAAGATCATTTTTACTCCCGGTTGAAGAGGTTGTCAGGTCGTGTCAGGCCCCAATTATTTTTAGTCTCGGTTGGTATAAACAACCGGGACTAAAGATCCATCTTTAGTCCCGGTTGTTTAGAACAACCGGGACTAAAAATCACCCCAAGCCGAGCGCGATGTTTATCTCTTCGCGTGTCCATTGTCTGACCCTGCTCCTCAGTCTTATCCTTAGCTTTTCTTCCCCTCCACTCGTTCTCCTCCTCACTCCTTCTCCTCTTCCTCCTTCTCCTCCTCCTCTTCCTCTCTCCCCTGTCTTCCTGGCGGCAGCGGGCGGCGGCCGGCGTGGAGGGCCGGCGGCGGCAAGCGCCGGCCGGCGCGGAGGCAGGTGGTGGAGGCGCTGGCGGCTGGCAGCGGCGGCTGCCCCGCGCGGAGGGCCCGGCGGCGGCGGCTGCCCGTCCGGAGGGCCGCGCGGAGGCGGCCTGCGCGGCGGCGCGGGAGGCCGCGTGGCGGCGGCGGCGCGGGGGGCCGCGCGGCGGCAGCGGTGCGCGGCCAGCGCAGCGGCGCCGGGGGCCGCGCGGAGGCGGCAGCTGCGGTGGGCAGCCGCTCAGCGGCGACCGGCGCGGCGCCGGCCGGCCGGCGCGGAGGGGAGGCGGCAGTGGCCGCCGGCCGGATTTTTTTTCTTTTTTTTTGAGATGTGAATCTGTGATGTATTTTTGTGTGAGATGTGAATCTGTGATGAATTTTTTAGAATCTTGTGATGTAATTTTTTTAAGAGTTTGTGATATATTTGGAGATGATTTGTTTGAGGATTTGGAGATGTTCTGTAATATGTGATGATTTGGATATGGGATGGGATTGTGTGAAATCAATATTCAATATTAAAAGCAGAAAAAAAAGAAAAAATATCTTTCGTCCCGGTTGGTGTTATCAACCGGGACTAAAGATGCTCCCATCTTTAGTCCCGGTTGGTAACACCAACCGGGACTAAAGATTGATTTTTAGTCCCGGTTATTTGAACCGGGACTAAAGATAGCGATCTTTAGTCCCGGATTCGTAGTCCCGGTTAGAAAACCGGGACTACAGGGGGGTTATGAACCGGGACTAGAAAGCATTTCTCCACCAGTGTCAAGATCAGTTCCTGCAATTGCTCAATTGTGCAATCCATAATTAATAGACCCTGTTGTATGAAAAATGTCAGACAGCAATGTAAAGCGGCTCTGTTGGACAGCTAGCCTAGTATTGTCGACTTAGCAAAACATGATACCATAAGGGCCCCATCAGTAACCGAACCGTAAATCCTCATTTCGATTTGAAGCTTACATCACTAAGGGCCTCATCGTACGGCACATTTGCAAACGAAAAATAATTTGTGAATAAAATTTTTATACACGTGTTCTTAACGACCTAAAAACAAAGGCTGAAAAATAAACTTCGATGAAAAAACCTAAAATCTTTAAGGCTGAAAATTTAAATTTTAGCTAATAAATATAGCGAAAAGATGAGTCCGTAAAACAATATGAAATGCTTAGCATTTAGTTATAAGGACAGTGTTTTCATCCATGAGACCATGATTGGTACAAAGGTTGGGAGTTCATCAGTTCCGTTATCCAAAACATATCAGCGAGCACAGATCGAGCAAAGATGGCCTTGGAATTCTTTCGGTCATCTCACTGCTACAGCGCCAATTTTCCCGTGCGGGCGACACCCTAGCACCGGTTCTTAATTTTTCTGTGCGATTCCACTTACAAACCGCACGGAAATAAAAAGGGGAGGCGTCCAGAAAAATCAATCGTATAGTAGTGTCACCAGCTTGGGTCTTATGTACAGTTGAATTCTGTAAGACTGTAACCAAAAGAACGAACCATTGTGTGAGCTGTTAAAATATTAGCCGGTCTAGTTGCATGCTGGAAACCTACCTCACTCATTTGTTTCACTTACCGCACTGTCATGATGCATGTATGGCAGCGCAAGACCTAACTCAAGACATTATACAATGCACACATGTGGATAATGAAAAGGACATTACACAGTGCACATTTGTATGCACACTTGCCAAAATAGACTCCACTAGAAAAAGGTAAAATCCAATTTTAGCCCTTGTACTTTGCTAGAAGCTCATTTTCTACGGAACTATGAAGTCGGTTATTTTTTACCCTCAATGTAAAACCGAAAGAAAACCTTAAGATATATTTTTATTGGTTTGTCCGAAATGGAGGTGATTTTGTTAGTTGATACTCTTATTCGCATATTTTGCCGATGAGTGACTCTGTGACTGAACGTGCATCTTTACTATGGGATTTGAAGGTTTATTTATCTTGACCTCCTCCTATTATTTTATCACATAGCAAACGCACACGTATTATATTTGCGCACCACTGTGCTCGCACGCTCGTGAATGCGTCCCGCACACACAAAACTTCCAACTCACGCATTCACAAATGTGTCTGCTAATACACGTTCAAAGAGATGAAAATCAACCGTGTATTTCTGATCTTGCTAATTCCTATTAAAAAGTTATTTGCATGTGTGTAATAATCTCGTTGGGTGAAATTATGCAGTGGTGCTGCTTCCCGACCTCTTTCTTTTTCCGCTCCTAAAGCTCCTTCACCTGACACGGCCCATTGCAAACTGTCAGCAGATATCTATGGACAATTTCGTTCTTATCCTTGCTTTGATGTCCAATATTGATTTTGTCACTGCTTTTTAGGGTTTTCGTTTTTGTCCCTGTTTTTTTAAATGAAGTAGATATCTACCCCTGTTTTTGACAGAAGTTAGTGGACCTTGAATTATTGAGCTAAAAAAAATAAGAAAAAGAGGGAATATTGATTATGTATTTTTTTGGTTGACCTTTGTCCTCCTAGGGAGAGAAGAAAGGAAGGGAGCCAGGCTCCGACGCCATTACCCTCCCAATCAATTTTCTCCAACCCTAGGGGACCTAGGCGGTGACGGTGAGTCGGCGACGGCGGCGGCGATCTTGCCGGCGGCAACTAGCAGCCACCTCCTTCCCTGGCGAGGCAGTGGGGAGTAGGCGGTGGCGGCAGCTTCACTAGCAGGCGAAGCAAGCGGCCACTAGCAGGCGAAGCAAGCGGCCACGACGATGACCCGATGTGGGGAGGAGGCGGTGGCTACTCTGCCAGGTGGTAGGGAGGGGTCTTCGCCGTGGTAAGGATGGATCTTGGTGGCGGCGACAATGGGAAAGGGTCTTGGCGGCGGCGACGGGGAGGGGTCTTGGCAGCGGCGGGGACGGGAAGGGGTCTTGGAGGCGGCGGTGGGGGAGCAGGAGGCCGCGACATCGTGCCAACAAGTAGAGCGCAGAGACGGTGCAAGGCGACGATGAGTTGGCACAAGGGAGGTGAACACGATGGCGAGCAGTGTCGACTAGGCACTAAGACTTGATTTGCTTGACTTTGAGCACTTGGCATGGGAGGAGCAAGAGGATGTAGGATTGGATTTACTTCACTTTGTGATTGGAATTTTTTGACTTTGTGATGCTTTGCTATACTTCCGCTTGTTGTGTTAAGAATGTGTGAAACTTGTGCCATTCTATCTTTTTTTTTTGTCAAAATGTGTCCAATTTTTTGGCAAAATTATGTGAAATTTTGAAGCAAAATTTTGCCCAGTCTGGCAAAATTGTCATACTTGTGAAAGTTTATCAGAATTGCGAGCTGATAAATAGTAACAAATACACAATTCATATAAAAAATAGTGTCAAATGTGTAATATATAGCAAGTAAGGTAAGGATGTCTTTTTGTCAAAGATTTAACACCGTTAAGATACCCATCCAAAACAGGGGTAAATTTTGGTTTCGATTCAGAAAAACAAAGGGTAAAAAGAAAACCGTAAAAAACAGGGGCAAAATCAATATTGAACATCAAAGCAGGGTAAGAACGAAATTGCCCCAGAGTACAGCACAAGTTGCATGCATTTTCTGCAATCTATTCTCTGTGTTCTCTAACTCAACTTTTTATGTGCATCTTTTTGCAGATGCCCATGTTTTAGATGAAGATATTTCGAGAGTTTCTTCAAGTGCTTAGTTGTACGTTCACCATATATGCCAATCTGAAACGAAGACGCTGATTCATTCTTTTTTAATTTCCATGTCTCTTTTCATAGAATTGAAAGCTCAAAATTGAAAATTTTGGATTGATTTTTCACCTGAAAATTCCAACTGAAATGGTCTTGGTATAGTCGTACCTATAAATAGCAAAACACGCTGATTTGTTGAGTTACATATGCATAATTGTAAATTGGTCAATTAATGGACAGTTACAAACATCTCGATCATTTAATTTGCCATAATACGTACGTTCTAATGATTGTGTCAGGTTCTGGACTGGGCCTCAGAAAAAACGAGCTGAAAACGCAGGCCCAAGCTATGGGCATCAGCCCGGCCTGGTAGACTGTGAGCTGGATTGGGCTGGGCTGAGTTTGAACAGGTAGAGAGGTGGACACAATGTAGCAAGGGCTGAAAATGATTGCTTAGTGTTTTGGGTAGGGTTTATCTTTTCCTTTTGCAAATGAAAACCGCATCTCACCGGCTTAAAATAAGTGATAAAAATGAACGATGTTAATCCAATGAAATTTCTCCATAAATCTTTTGATTTAAAGGGGCCCTTAATGTTGAGAACCCCTGCTTGGCAGGACTTTGTCATTTCCGTTCTATCAAAATACACACATTCTTCGTGTCAAGACAATGTGATCAAGGAGCAAATCTAAGCCCACAAGCTATACAAGAGACATACACAAAAAAAAAAAAGGAAGAAAGAATCAAATTGCCTGTCAAGCTATAGCCTTATCCTGGCGTCTCTTCTGCAGCCTCGTTATTAATGTGGCACCGGCGACGGCGACTTGGACCGCGAACCACCACCTTCCCTTGACAGCGCCACCACCTGCGTTGGCGCCGACGCCGACGCCGACGTGGTTGCACCTGCATCCACCCCTTCCACCACGCCGACGCCTCTCGCCGCCGCCGCCGTCGTCGTCTGCAGACTCAGACCACCTATCGGTGGCGACGACGGCGACGGCGACTTCGACCGCACAACCACAACCGGCGTCGGCGAGCTCGGCCACCGCTCGTTCAGGCTGTGGTACGCCGTCGGAGACGGCGAACGTGAGGCCTGCACGTAGTTGATGATCGCCGCTTGAACCGGTGACGACGGCGACTTCGACGACGTCGACGTGATCGGTCCGCCGGTGGTGGTGGTCGTCGTCGTCGAGGTGGTGTTGCCCCTCAATGGAGAACGTGCCAGGATGTCCGCCAGGGCGCGCGACGCCGCCGTGGGCCGCTCCGGCGACAGGCCGCACCGGCGCAGCTGCGGCAGCGGCGGCGACACGGCCACGACGTCGCTGAGCCGCACGCCGTCGGGCTCCGGGTGCGCGCGGCACACCGGGCACGTGGAGTGGGCGCGCAGCCAGAGGTCGATGCAGCCGCCGTGGAAGAAGTGCCTGCACGCCGGCAGCACGCGCACCACGTCGCCGTCGGCGAGCTCCTGCAGGCACACCACGCACTCCACCACCACCGTCGTCGCCCCCTTCCCCTTGCCGCTGCCGCCGCCCCTCCTCCCGCCGCCGCCGACCAGCGGCGACGCCGCCGCCCCGCGCGCCCGGTACGTGAACGTGGGGAGCGCGTCGATGTCGTCCGAGCTCAGCCCGAGCAGCGCGGCGCGCGGCTCGCCGCCGCCGCCGCCGGCCTGCAGCTGGCGCCACTCCGACATCACCGACCGGCCGTACCGGATCGCCATGTACAGGATCACGCCGACGAGGACGGCGATGATGATGTACAGCAGCGTGAAGTTGGAGCTCGCCGTCCCCGGCACGGCCGAGCCGCCATCGCCACCACCGGAGCTCGGATCAGACGGCGGCGAGGACATGGCGGCGACCAAGAACACCACCCGGTTTCAAGGACATGGCAATGGTAAACAAAAGCAATATCGATCAATCAAAACCAAACCGAACCAACCATTCGATCGATCGAGGAGAAGAGGGTGGTTGTGCGAGATCGATCGAGGCATGCATGCTTCGCGCATGATAGGGTTTTTTCAGTTGGGTCGCTAGCTAAGCTAAGCTAAGCTGGGCTTGGATGATCTATCGAGACATGATGAGACGCCACGCCATGGAGTATTAGTATTTGATTGGTTAGAAGGATTATTATATTTTTTTAGGACATCGTTTTGTGATAATTTCGTGTTGGATTGGGTTGCTGGGTAGTGGTATTGTTTAAATAAATTTCATCTATTAGATTATCTGGTCATGCTTGAATTCAAATCATTCGGTGGTGATTTTGTGCATTTTGTTAGTCATGGTTGATTGGTGACTTTATCATTGTGAAATTGCGAGTTGCTTGACATATGCTGGTGAATGCCTGGATAGGGATCAAATATAAGGCTGCGGTCAACTTCGCAACCAACAGATGCACGTATCATTTTGTAAAATATATTTTGGGACAATTAAGACAGTGACATCATCGAGAACTGGAAATACTAAAAACATTTGCAATTAGAACATCCTAGGCACTAGAGGAGTAACGTTGAAAATAATCAAATATGGACAATATTCCATATAAAATTTTCCAGAAAAGCATAAATATTCTGGCCCACTACCCCAACCATGTCTAGGAGCCTAGGATAGGACTTAAGATAGGATGGCAGCAACGAAGCAGAGACAGCAAGATTACGAGTGCATTAGGGCATCCACAATGTACACTGAAAGTAACCTTAGACATTAAATACTGCTACAGTACAACGCATTTAGCATTGTGGAGTCAGACCACAAGTCCGATGCAACCAAAGTACACCTTAAGCTTAAGGTGTAGCAACAAAGCTATAAAATACAATACTTTTACTGTTTTTCTGTGCACACCAATAAAATATACATGTCAGTTACTAAACATAGTAACGAGTACTACTAGCCGTTGCTGCTATTCCATTTGAGTTGCTCATTTGGTCCCCTAGCCGTTGTCTTCCTCCAGCATTCTTCTGCTGCCTACAAAAGGAGGAACAAGTGAGATGAACAACAATTTTTGATCTATTCAGTTTTCCCACATACTAAATGGAGCCTTTCAAAGGAAACTTCTCAAACCTCCTCAACCAAGGTTCCTCAAGCCAAGCAACAAATAGTGAGGCCCAAAACTCCCTTTCTACCCAATTTCCCACAAGTTATCCCCAAAACTTCAGACCTAGTTTTCTCCAAAATTTCCATCCTTTTGGTCCTCCAAGCAACTACCAGCCATATCGACACCCTCCAATCTTTCAAGGTGCTCAGCAACAAGAATATTATGGGCAACCTACTCCAGGAAGCTTGGAAGGTTTTCAACTTCAAGAAAATCTGGTGCACTCATCTAACCAAGCATTTGGATTTGCAGCCAATAGATCACAGTTTGGTATGCAATATAGTACTTCAATTAGGGCTACAGCCAACACTTCTTCTCATGGATCAGCTTCTCCATGTCATACAAGACATAATGAGAAAGAAGTAGTTGAGGTTGAAGAGGCAAGTGATAGCAGTGAAGAAGGAAGAAGAGGGACACGCATCAATTGGACTGAAGATGACAATATACGACTAATGAGTTCTTGGTTGAACAATTCAGTTGATCCCATCAAAGGCAATGACAAGAAATCAGAACAATATTGGAAGGCTGTAGCTAGAGAGTTCAACAGCAATATGCCTAGCAATGGGAACAAAAGGAACCCCAAGCAATGCAGAACACATTGGGACAATGTCAAGAGAGATGTCACTAAGTTCTGTGGATTTTATTCTAAAGCTAGAACTACTTTCACAAGTGGGTATTCTGATGATATGATAATGGAGAAAGCCCGTGAATGGTACAAAAAGCACAACAACCAAAAACCTTTCACCTTGGAGTATATGTGGAAAGATCTTAAAGATCAACCTAAATGGCGTAGAGTCCTTGAAGAGAGTAGCCATAATAAGAGGAGCAAGATTTCTGAATCAGGAGCATATACTTCATCGTCGAACCAAGACACAGAGGAGGAAACAGAGCGCAAAGAGAAGCGCCCTGAGGGGCAGAAGGCAGCAAAACAGAGGCAAAAAGGAAAAGGTGCACCATCACCTTTAGGGGATAAGCCAAGTCAAAATATGGTTCTCTTTCACGAAGCTATTACAACTAAAGCAGCAGCATTGCTAAAGGCAGCAGAAGCAACACTGATTGGAGCAGAAGCAAAAAAAGAGAAGGCGATTGCAAAAAAAAGAGAAGGCAAGGGCAGAAAAATACCAAATGTATTTAAAACTGATGGAGAAGGATACATCAACCTCCAGTGAAGCAAAACTGAAGAGACATGAAAATGTATTGGACCAATTAGCTAGAGAACTTGCTGAGGAATAAATGACTAGCAAGCAATGTTAGCAATTATGCTTATTTTATAATGTCAGTATTCTTGTCATATATTAAAATTATGTACTGTGTTGATGCTTGTACTGTGAACCTATTTGTATTGTACTATGTTATGGTAATTTGTATAAATATTGTGTATTACAGCTATGGAATGAAACTACAATATCCTTAGTACTTGAGAAATCACCTTTTCACATGGATCTAGTTGGTGTTGATGGTTTTTCTTCCATCCATGACCAATCTGTTTTTTTTTCTCCACCTGAATACATATGAGCAATAATTAATAGAGAACAAAAGCAAGAGGGATGTTGACAAAACCTAGGAAAATATAGCTGTTGTAAAAGACTGACAAAAGCAAGAGCTAGCTGTTAGGATATTGACAAAACCCAGGAAAATATAGCTGTTGTAAAAATCTGACAAATCTAGTCGTTGTAAAATGTATCATCTACAAATAGGTAATGTAGTTCAGCAGAACAACACCCATTCTCATTTTGTTCAACTTCATCTCAACAGCCTTCCCACTTTCAAAAAAAAAAATGTCCAGCAAGTCACCACATCAATCTAGTGAGTCAGATGATTCTAGCTCTAGTGACTACCTTGAAGAGCTGATTTTGGAAGAAATCAATGATCCTATGGAAGCTGAGATTGAAGATGAGATTGAAGCTCAACTTCAAGCTCAAATGCAAGCACAACAAACTGGTCATTCTAATCGTCGTGGGGGCTACAAACGAAGGTACATCAATAGAGATTACCAAGACGACCACAACAGATTGTTTGCAAAATACTATTCCGACAATCCTTTATATACCGATGATCAGTTCCGTAGAAGATTTCGCATGAGAAAGCATCTATTTTTGCACATTGTTGAAGCTCTTGGCATTTGGTCTCCATATTTTCGTTTGCGAAGAGATGCATTTGGCAAGGTTGGTCTATCACCGTTGCAAAAATGCACAGCTGCCATACGCATGTTGGCATATGGTACACCAGCTGACCTTATGGATGAAACTTTTGGGGTTGCAGAAAGCACAGCAATGGAATGCATGATAAATTTTGTTCAAGGTGTTAGACATATATTTGGTCAGCAATACCTTCGCAAGCCTAATGAACAAGATATCCAGTGTTTACTTCAACAAGGAGAGGCTCATGGGTTCCCTGGCATATTGGGTAGTCTTGACTGCATGCATTGGGAGTGGCAAAATTGCCCGGTTGCATGGAAGGGACAATTCACACGTGGTGATTATGGTGTACCCACTATCATGCTTGAAGCAGTTGCATCTGCTGACCTATGGTTTTGGCATGCATTTTTCGGTGCTGCTGGTTCAAACAATGATATCAATGTGTTGGATCAGTCACCATTGTTTACTGCAGTGCTACAAGGAAGAGCTCCTAGTGTTCAATTTACTGTCAATGGGACAGAATATAACATGGGATACTATTTAGCTGATAATATTTATCCAGAGTGGGCTGCATTTGCCAAATCAATTACTAGACCTCAAAGTGACAAGGCTAAATTGTATGCACAACGCCAAGAATCAGCAAGGAAAGATGTGGAACGAGCATTTGGGGTTTTGCAAAAACGTTGGGCCATAATTCGCCACCCAGCACGGCTTTGGGAAAGGGATGAACTAGCTGATATCATGTATGCATGTATTATTTTGCACAACATGATAGTTGAGGATAAGAGAGACGATTATGACATACCTGATGACAACACATATGAGCAATCACAATCTTCTGTACAACTAGCAGGACTCGACCATGGGCCAATCCATGGATTTGCAGAGGTCCTAGACGCAGACATGAATATTCGCGATCGAACAACCCATCGACGTCTAAAGTCAGATTTGATGGAGCACATTTGGCAGAAATATGGTGGTCAACAACAACAAAACTAGAGTTTATTTGTGTTATGAAACTTGTGTTCTTTTTTCCATTTTTCTTTCAGTCGTCCAATTTATTCTTATTAGTAACTGAGACTCTTTACTTTTTCATGCACTAAGAGTAATGTACCAGTACCATTGCCTTAATTAGTCAAGCACAAGTCATATTGAAAATATCATGTTTTTTTGGTCATTTTTTTTAATTTCAGATCTGTTGGAGCACAACTAAACACTCTATGAAAATTCCATCGGGATCGAAATCAACGATTCACATGATGCATACGTACAAACAGAAAAAGAATCTGTAGTAGCAGCACTTGCACATATTTGATGACAAATTTAATCGTAGCAGCAGCAGCACTTGCACAAACAGATATAAATTTAATCACCGGGCAAACCAAAAGCAAGAAGAGATTCCACAACACGGAAAAGGAGAGGCCACGGAATCAATCACCTTGTCTCTAACGCAGAACTCACGGACGATGTAGGCGAAGTTGAGGGCGGTGACCGTCTAGTAGGTGCTGATGGTTGAGAGCAGCTTCAAGTTTGTGGCGCAGACGAGACAGAGAAGCACGCGTCGGCAGCGTCGCGGCCGGAGTAGTTCGCGCACGCAGCGTCATCGATGGGTGAGGCCGCGCACGGCAACGTGGCACCGAAGCCACGGCACAGCGAGGTCACAGCCGAAGGAGGGGAGGCCGGGAGGAGCAGCGACGTTGGCGCAGCCACGGGAGGAGCAATCGTCGGAGAAATTGGGGATCCAGTGCATGCGCTGTGGGAGAATTTGGGGATCGAGCGGAGCGACGAAGAGAGGAATTGGGGATCTGAGGCGGAGGAAATGGGGATCGAACAGAGTAACAGTGGATGAGGATTTTTTTTCACTCGCGCGAACAAGCAGATGGTTAGGAGTGATCTGTATTCTTTTTCTCCCGTGGGGCCCAGCGGGACCCACCTTATTTCCATCAAACAAACAGTATCATTGTAGAGATTTCCTTAATAACTATTGCTACCTGTAGATGGGCCCACTCTTGTTATGCATTTTACCATATACATTGGCCTTGCCCTTAGAATAGCGGACAAAGTAGTACACATACAGGACAATCATTATTACTCTATCATAGGCTAAAGCAGTCTTATCTAATGTTTGCCTAATCAGGAAGAGGGCCCGAATATCATTTTACCCATGTGCTTAGGGCTGTCAACGAGCCGAGAGCGAGCGAGCTCGCCTGCCTAGGTTTTTAAAGTAGAACAATGCATATTTCAAGGATAATCTTTAAAACATAATTAGTTTCTTGTTCATCGTATTAATAGCAGAGGAAAAAAGAATAAAATAAATATATAATACCAATACAAGATATACAAATAACATATTTGATATCCTAATTAATTAAATAATAACAAAAATCATATATTACTAGCTAGGCTCGTTAGAAGCTCGATCTCAGCTCGACAAAGCTCACGAGCTTTGGGAGAGGCTCAGGCTCAGCTCGTTTGGAGCTCGAGCCGAGCTCGAATCGAGCCTAGGACAAGTTGAGCTCGAACAGCTTGCCAGCCTCGAGCTTTTTTTGACAGTCTCCTATGTATATTAGAAGCAAATGCCAATTTACTTTAAAAAAGCATAAAGTATTTAAAGGACTCGTTTTCTACAAGATATGGTGACGTGGATTTTATCAAATTGTAGTTTTTAGTTTTGCAATATATATATGGTTTGTATATTTTTAGTGAGCATATTCTCGAACTGATAAATGTTACGATTTTTTAAAATAAAATATCTTTTTAAAATTAAATAAATATATTTTCTAAGTTTATAATAATTAATAATTAATTAATTATATCCTAATGGTTCATCTGGTTTTACGTGCAATGGAAAAGCTCCTCACATTTGAACGCAGCCTGGTTCATGACATTTAATTTAGGCTTTGTTTAGTTCCCAAAACAAAAATTTTCACGCTGCCACATTGAATGTTTGGACACATGCATGGAATATTAAATGTAGGAAAAAAATCAATTACGCAGATTGCGTGTAAATTGCGAGACAAATCTTTTAAGCCTAATTACGCCATAATTTGCCAATGTGGTGCTACAGTAAACATTTGCTAATGACGGATTAATTAGGCTTAATAAATTCATCTCGCAGTTTCCTGGCGAAATCTATAATTTGTTTTGTTATTAGACTACGTTTAATACTTCAAATATGTGTCCGTATATTCGATGTAACAATAAAACCTAAAAATTTTGCCTAACTAAACAAGGCCTTAGACTATCTTGGTCCTCCAAGCTAGTTTGCCCTTGGCGCAAAGTGGCCCTGGGGCACATCTAAAGTGCCATCTTTGCAAGGCAACCGTATGCCAACTTTGATGGTGAACTCTCTTTGAGAAAACAACTATGCTCCCTGATCAGCTAGTAGTAAAAAAGAGTGAAAAGCCGGTTTGACTTACCTCATCATGCTAGCCCACCCACCATATATCCACTCCATGCATTCACTTGTGCTATGTGGTTTGACTCAGGTGAAGGTAAATGGGGGCAAACATTCCATATATCGATGGAAATAAAAGAACATATAAATTTAGTTTATTTCATAAATTAATCATAACATTAAACTTGTAAATACTAGTAGAACCACATCATACGATCTAAGTATGTAAACTAGATAGTAAAACATGAACATATCAAATAGGCGAAACATGATGAATACGTACCGAGGACCGTGGTTGTGCTGTGAATCAGGTTGACGAGGAGTAGCACGCACCGCAGGAACAACACACGGTGTTAGATGTTGTCATTGGTGCGCATCTAGAGCATAGAGGAAGACAAGCCGTTATGGAAGACTAGTGAGCTGTCGTGCGAAGCGCTTGCTAAAAACGCCGCCTTCTCTCGGTGTAGGAGGTCGAAGGCGAAGGTTCCGAAAACTAGCTCTACCGATAGTCGGTGCATGTCAGCAAGCAGGACGGAATAGACTACGAGCGACAATGCAACATAGAGGAGGAAGAAAATCCTAGATTGCTTTTCACTGTCTTGAAAGGAGACGATGGCTTGGTTTATATAGAGATAACAGGATACGTGATCAAGATGCCTGCACGATCTCCACAACGTGTAATCAAACTGGATAAGTTGTGCATAACCTATACGGACTCCACTCCACTCCACGCACTGGATTATTTGGTGTGTTTCAAAAAACAAACACCGAATTTTGCAGCGAAACAAAACTGCAAAAGACATATCGAATTTTGCTGGAAAACAAAATTGCAAAAGGAAACCGTGTCCGCCCAAGGATTAGGAGCCAATTTTGATGAATCATTCACACACTTATCATGTACATGCACCGCCAGACGAGGTGAGGTGAACAAGCGCGTGTGTTTCTTTAGTTCTTTCCACCACACATGTCTCAAGTGGTTAGAAGAGCACTGTTCTTTTTAAGAATGTCTCCTCTTATAATACTGTCGAGGAGTAACCCTCTCTAGCAGGAGGACGTGAGACCCTCCCCTTTGTGAGTTTGGCCAGGGGATAAGGCACGAGTGATCAAGAGCTGACCTTAGCTGAGGATTTGGTTATGGTGGTCGAAAGTGATCGGGAGTGAGGCCAGAGATTATACAGGCTCGGGCCGCTCGGAAGCGTAATACCCTACTACTGTGTGTGTGGAACTATGCTCGAGTTCTTACAAGAAATCTTGGGCTCCTAGGAAAACCTAACTGTGCTTCCCCTAGAGTTCAAGTTCTCGAAAGTCGTCGTCTTTGCTCGGCGGGTAAGGTCCTCCTTTTATAATTCAAGGGGATACCACATGCACCGCCTCTATTCGTCTCACCCTTCCTGGAGAGGGGTCTCTCTTCCTTGGGTTCTGGTCCCGCTCATGCCTTAGACCAAAAGCAACATGGCCGTTTGCTCCGAGGTGGGTCCCAACGCCGTCTCCCATCTGACATGGGGGACATCCCCTGTCATTCCCTCATTAAGCCTTGAAGACTTTTGTGGGCTCATGATACCGGGAGCGCACTGGACGTGCGTGCTGAGCCCTAATGGCTGATGGGACGGGGCATACTTGCCCCCACGCTGCCTGACACAGGGCGGGGCGTGGGTGCGCTGCCACCCGTCCCATCCATCTGTCACCGGTCACAGACTGGTCCAAGCGATTGACGCACGTCAATCCCTTGGGTGGCGTCGCACGACCAACCATGCCGCATTGCGTGGGTGGTTGGGACGCTGTCCGTAAACGTGCCAGTGGCGCCCCCTCCTCCGCCCGCCCAGCCGCCACATGGCAGCTGAGCGGGGGCCTTGGGGTGGCGCAACCCTTCGGGCCCGAGGGGTGCGACGGGATACCCCGAGGCCCCTAGGTGGATGCGGGGCGCCTCTCGGCTACTTACAGGTGGCTAGGGGAAAGGGCTCCTCCACTCCTTCCCCCTAACATGGGTATCCCGGGTCCATATCACCGACAAATACTAAACATCCTCATGCATATCTTCTTATGAAGTGGGATTTTGTGTTTTTCTTATAATTAATCTCTGAATGGAACTTGGCCCATCCATTAATTCAAGATATATAAGGTGTTTAATATCGTTCTAAGTTAAACTTAATTAAGTTTTTTGAAGTTGATAAAAAAACATACCAATATATATAATATTAAATTAATTTCGTTAAATTTACTGTTGAATACATTGAATATGTGTTTAATTATTTGCTTTGGGTTGAAAATGGTATCATTTTCTAATAGAAATTTGATAAAATCTAAATAAGTTTGATTTAAAACAAACCTAAAACACTTTTACAATACGAAACACAGCAATTAGAACATAAAAAATAATATGGAGCGAAAAAAGACTCTAAAGGAGAAGATTCTAAGAAGCCAACTTGTAAGAATCTAAAAACGCTGAATTTTCTAGGTTCTGACATACTCCCTCTGTTCCAAAAATACCCCAATCCTAGATTTAAACCTTGACACACATATTGATTTTTCTTTTGGGACGGATTGGGGGAATTCTATCAGCTGGAAATTCTGTGAGAAACTATTGCTGCCAAAAGCTTTCTAAACATGCTCAAAACCTTGCTGAACTTGAGGGATCAAATTTGTTATTTCTTTCGTTTTTATAGACATGTACCATATTGTCATAATTCCTCCTTTTTAATGATGATGCAGCATGTGCTTGAGAGAAAAAAAATATTGCTGAAATGAAAATAAGCCTTTTTTAGCGCATCGTCGAAATGGGTTGATAACCTAAAATGTCTGTTCTAAAAAAAACATAAAATGTCTTGTAAATAAAGTCAAAGGGTAGGCTACATGACAAGTCAGTCTGTTCTGACAAATGTCCACTTGCGTACCAAATAAGCAGTCAAGTATAGGAAAGAATCAAGTTGTCACGATCACCTTCGGCAGCATGAACACCAAACAAACAAGAGTAGAAAAAAAATGAATTTTTGTATTATTTCTAACCTCTTATATCAGCGTCAAATTGGTGAATGCACATTTGAGCCAATCGGCTCATTTGCTTAGATGAATTTCGTGGTTATAAACATCTTAATAACTGAAAAGTCAATAATGTGACATCCTCTTGCGAAAGCGTAAATTAGTACGCTTCCGTCATTCCGTGTACTCTACACTTCGACCACGTGCAAATCGGTCGTCGCCGTCGTCGTCACGGGAGACGGTGACCTTGACACCCGCGCCACACGCTCCGGAGTCCACGGGCGAGTCGGCGACGGCGACATTGCCGGACTACGGGCGGCGGCGTCAATGGCGGCGGCCGCGAGGTCGAAACGCGTGCTCGATCTTATCGGGGATGGCGACCTCGACGCGGCTGCGGAGGAGTCATCGTCGTTGGCTCTCGACGTATCGGCAGCGGCGGCGGCGGCGGCCTCCTTGGGCGGCGACGGCGCGCACCGGCGCAGCTGCGGCAGCGGCGGTGAGAGGGACGCGAGGCCGAGGCGGACCTTCTCCTGCCCTGGGCTCCCCCGGCACACCGGGCACGTGGCCCGCGACAGCAGCCAAACGTCGACGCAGGTGGCGTGGAAGTAGTGCTTGCACGACGGCAGCATGCGCACGACGGCGCCCTCGCCGAGCTCGTCGAGGCAGACGGCGCAGCAGTCCGCCGCCGCCTTCGCGTCCCCGCGTCCGATCAGGCCGCATCGGCCGGGCGAGGCGGTGGCGGCGGCGTGGTACGTGAACGTCGGGAGCACGGAGACGTCGTCGGGGCCGAGGCCGAGGCCGCGCTGCTGCTGCTGCCCCTGGAGCGCGGTGACCGCGTCGGGCGCCGCGCCGGGGGCGGCGTGACGGGCGGACGAACGGGTGTAGAAGATGACGGCCAGGACGACGATGCCGACGATGGCGACGAATGCGCCGATGCCCGTGTACTGCAGCGTCGACGACGCCGAGTCGCCGGGCATGGCCTGATCGATGGCCGGCGGCGTGCCTCGGAGTCAGAGACGTCGCGTCGGCGCCGGCGGAGAGCGGCCGCGATGTGGCACGCAGGGGACGTGGCGGGAAAGTGGTGGGGGGGGGGGGGGGGGGTTTGGTTGCGCGCGCTATATGGAGGTTGGGCGCAGCATGATTTGTGTTTGGGATTCGCGTGCGGTGGCGATCGAGTTCCGAATTGGGAGGATGGCATGGCAAGCACGTAGTGTATAGAGTGGAAGTGCGGGAACGCGGCATTTTGATTCTGTTGAAGTGTTGGCTCTAGCATTTCAAACAGACCAAAAAAAAATATAATCACTTAAAAAACTCTTGCAGAATTCTTTCTGGCAGAATCATTTGATTGAGGTTGTTGGAAGTTATAGAAAAGCTAGATTCAAGCGTACTAGTATGGTAAAAAGTTTGTAATAACAATTTTTGTGTACGGTGTGTAGCTTTTACATTGTATTTTTAGAGAGGTGTCAGAGCATCACCAAGATATTGACAGTAATTAATTTTCAAAACTATTTTTTTTCTCCTAAACTGAATATAGGAAGTGAGAAAACTAATCTTCCTAAAATTGATTTCCTACAATGAAAAGTGGACCCTCCCTTTAACAAATTAGTTCTTCTACTCATCCTCCCGATCTCCTCCCCAAAACGCACATCGCGCCTGGCCAGCTCCTCCTTTATCTTGCGATTTTTTCTCCATGTGCGCATGAGAGAGCGGTTGGGAAAAAAAATCGCTCCCTTAAAGTGGAGAATGAGTTGGATATGATTTTTGACCAAAACTTCCTTAATTTGAGGATATGAAATAGAATAAGGAAATAATGAAACTGTTGGTCATGCTCTTACCTCAAAAACTGATGAACCGAAAATCTTGTCTTCGCACCAGAAAATAGTAATTCCTCTCCTTCATATTAAATGTCGTTTGATTTTTTTATCAATCAAAATTTTTTAGTTTGATCAAATTTATAGAAAAAATTAGTAACATTTATCACACCAAATTAGGTTCATTAAATTCAACACTAAATATATTTTGATAATATATTTGTTTTATATTAAAAATAGTAATATATTTGTTTATAAACTTGGTCAAATTTAAAGAAATTTGACTAAAAAAATGTTAAATGACTTATAATATAAAAATCTTCAGATAGTACGACGTATACCACAAGGTAAAGAAATTTGTTGGAAAAATACCATTCCCGTAACTTTTGACGGTTACAAGGACAAGTGGACCAAAACCGTACGTCACGGTTCGCCGTTGTCACCCAAAGGAAAAGTGGCAGAACGGAAGAGATGGAAAATGGGAAATGAAGCTGCCTCCAGAGTGGCTAGGTGAAGTGGTTACGGAAAATCAGAATATCACCTGCTGCAGTTCAAACCAAATGAACCATGACAGCCAAAGGTGGCGGGAGTGATAATTTTCAAACAAATGTTTCGACCTATGCTATGCCAAAGGCAAAAGACATTTCCCTTCGGTACACAAGACAATAGCATGGTAGCAGTTGAATTTTTCTGTTCCTTGTAGCCTGAGCTTGGCCAAAATGGGAAAAATGAGTATCTCTAGTAGTGGTGGATAAATAGGGGGCACGACATGGCGCAACCCAGACCGGCCTTGCCATGCCGAGCCACGTGTTAATGCCTCGGCTCAGGCACGACCCAGTGAGGTACCAAGGCGTGCCGTGCCATGTTGGCACGGGCACATAATAGGCACGTGGGCGGTTCTTAGAAATAAGCAACAAGATCTCCATTCTTGGTTGTGTTGTGCATCCTCTTTAGCTTAGTTCCCAGTCTTTGATACTCTCTCTCTTCCAGTATATAAGCATTTTTAGAGTTGGACACAGTTATTAAGAAAGTAGGTAGAAGTGAATGGTGGAGGGTTCTAATTAGTTGAGTAGTGGAGGTAGGTGGGAAAAGTGTATGGTAGAGAGTTATGATTGGTTGGGAAGAAAATATTGGTGGAGAAGTTGTTATATTTTGGGACAAATCTTGAGAGATAAAAGTTGTTATATTTTGGGATCCCATAATATAAGCATTTTTAGAGTTGGACACAGTTATTTTGGGACGGAGGGAGTAGCATTTTCACTACTTCACAATGTAGATATGTTCTGGTGTCTTCAATGGTTCATCCACATTGATTGAAGGGCGACTTAGATGACGGTAGATATGGTCATCATAGTACTATATATATTTTCTTAAGGTCACTTTTCCATATCAATATGCTGAAGTCTTGTGCTTCGTGGCAGGGTTTACCTTATCGCGTGCGGTTACCGCGCTTATCACCGGGGCACGGTAATGGTTTACCGCTGTATGGTTTAGATGAAATTTGAGCAAATTGAAAATTCCCAAAAAAATCGAAAAACTCATGGATGTAGTTCTTGATTTGTAGTGGCATATGTTTAAGAAAATTTTTCAAAGAGGGCAAAACCAAAAATAATTAAGAAATTTGAAAAAAGAAAAAATGTATTGGAATTAGGGCAAATACATTGTGAACGATTGGTGTTTGTTGAGATATGAATATTTGTGAAATAGGTGAAATATGGTTTGCTAGTGATGTCGAAAATCAGGGACGGAGCTAGAACGAAATGGAGGAGGTTGCCTCTTGCTTAATTTAATCTACTTTAGATCAAGTTTAAGCTGATGCGTGTACCTAAGTTTGTATTGAGGGGTGCACACATAGTGAAAATCGGTGAGTTATAACTAAAAATTTCTTGACCAGGTTCCTGGGCACCTCCTCCCATACTCTACCTCCGTCCCTGCGGAAAATGGTTTTGTAGAGTTGATATGTTATTTGTTAGGTGAGTACATATGCTCATGTTTAGTTATGAACATTTATTGTTATGATAATGGGTTATTTTGTTGCTCATGTAAAATATTGTAGTGATGTGCAAGTAATGTTAATTTGTACTCCATCCGTCCCAGAATATAAGAAGTTTTAGAGTTGGACACGGTTATTAAGAAAGTAGGTAGAAGTGAGTGGTGGAGGGTTGTGATTGGATGAGTTAGTGGAGGTAGGTGGGAAAAGTGAATGGCGGAGCGTTGTGATTGGTTGGGAAGAGAATGTTGGTGGAGAAGTTGTTATATTTTGGGACAAATCCTAAGCGCTAAAAGTTGTTATATTTTGGGACGGATGGAGTAGTTGTTATGCTATGAAATGTTGAATTGGTCATGCCGAATTTTTGTATTTTACACCCAAAAGTTAGTTAGTTTGTAATTGTCCTATATATTCTTCCAATTATCCCCAATTTCTACACACATTTAAGGGTTTATTAGAATTTTTTCTACTGACTTTTTAATTCCATGTGTTATTGAAATAACCTTGATGTCGTCTAGAGGGGGTGAATAGGTATTCCCAAAAATGATCACAACTTCATAGCATATTAGAATGATAAGAACTTTCGGTTCAAATCGGAACTTTCGGTATGGGATTGGAAGTTCTGGTCTTAACCGAAAAGTTCGGCAGATAACAGAATAAAACACTAGCTATGAACTTGTAGCTCGAACAAATAAAATATATATGAATCGAAAGGTGACAAACAAGGTATCTAAGCAAGATATAAGGTCACCAACTATATTAATTAAGCATGCAAGTAGATCGAGTAAAAATAAGCTAAGCACAATATGAGAGATGGCAAGAACGAGCAAACCAAGAGATGAGACATGTTGATTTGTTTCCCGAAGTTTGGATCCATGGATTCTACGTCTCCGTTGAGGGGCCACAAAGGCCAGGTATATTTTAACCCTTTCCTCACGAGGTTGCACACATGTACTTCTCGATTTCACTCTTGATTTCTTCTCTTATGGAGGCGAAATCGAAGCCTTCACAAACTTTTTGAGGCACACCATAATCTTGGGTGCTCACCGGCGACGCCTAGCCTTCTAGGAAACCTTAGTCCCCAAGAGTAACAATTGAAGATTTGCTTGCTATGAACTCGTGTGCTCAAAGTATGGAGTGAAACTCACTAGCTCAACTTCTCAATCTCTCAATCCAACTCTCTCCCCTTCTCAAATCCCACTACAAAGAGGCACCACAAAGGTAGGGAAATGGGGAAGGCTATTTAGCTTTGGATGTGTCTAATATTGCCCAAGAACAGTAGCCACTCGAAGAAGAGTTAGAGGAGTTTATATACCCGAGCCTCTCAAAACTAGCTGTTGGAGGCCAAGACTGCAATTTTCGGACAAGTTCATAAATTTATAGTAGCCAATCTCAGTTTCGCAGCCATTTTCGGAATTTCCAAAATATTTTCAGACTTTTTGATATTTTTTCATAATTTCTGAAAAGCATAGAGTAAAATGACCATAAATTTTCGCTCGGGAGTCTGTTTTTTATGATCTTGGACTCTATGTAAAGCTCACTCAGAGGACTATCAAACTCAACAAAAAAGGTCTAAATCCACTCAAAGGATAGGTTAAAATTTAGGTTTATCTCAAGGTAGCACTAGGATAGATCACTTTGAGCACCGAAACATACACAAACACATCGACGTTCCATCCCTCTTAATAATACGGCATTCCTATACTCAAATAAAAATAGGAAGAGAATTATACCAATAGGAATGCCTTCTTTCCATCTTCCTTCCTTTGTCTTAAGGGATGCCAACGCCAAAAACATTTCACCGTATATTCTTCAAATGATTGATGCAGTTACTTGTTGCTTCAAATGGTCTCGCACGGTCCATCATGGCAAAGCTGTCACAGGCCCTTCACCACCTGATTTGGTTCTTCGGCACCAAGCCCCTCGCTTGCCCTTCACCACTGCATGGTCCATCGCGACTGCGCATCGCTTGCCTTTCACCGTCTTACCATAGTAGCCACTTCATATCCCACATCTGCAATATATTTGCTTTGTTATTCTTGATATTTTAGGTGTAATCATATCACTTGAGCGTCAACACCTTTTTAATCATTGGAACCTATTTTTCTCATTCAACTCAATGAAATTATTAGTCTCAATGATCCGGTTGTCAACCTCCACATGTTGACCAACTTAT